ATTAGCGGAATAAAAAACAGTTGTAAATGATCCAGATCTTGCAAGTGTTTCGACTCTACATTTTATTATAGCTTTTAAGTTCATTTTTAATGTATTATATTTTTGTTCTAATTTACAGTTAGTTTTGTTTTCCATGTTTCTGATATAAAGGATGAAAATAATATATTTTGTTAGAATAGTATTGTACTAATGCTTGCTAAATTGTTAAGAGCGATATTATCTCTTTTTTTTTATAACTGCTCTGTATTGTAGCCTAGAAGATGTCGCTTGTTAGCTCAAAAGTAGTGCCATACTATTATGTAAATTATCGATACGGTGTTAGATTTACATATACTGTACTTTTATTTAAATACTAACTAATGCACTTTTATTTTAAATTTTAGATCTGTTTACACCCCCTCCCCACCCCACTCCGCTCAAGGCGAACTATTTTCACACAATGATCAACGTGGGTGGTAGGGGGTGGAGGGGGGAGAAAGAGGGATGGCTTTTACAACGATAATATCTTTTTACTGTTCGAGTATTTTTGTTTTTGTTGTAATGTCCATCAGACGGTATAACGTAATCACATATTCTAGAGCGATGCACTTTTGTTGAAAAATGTTTTATCTTTGGAATTACACACTTACCTTAAAAACAACCTCTAATGTAGTCAAACGTACTCAAAACTCATACTTTAATATGTGTAACTGTGTATTATATTGTAAACATGCACTTTATCAAAACCGTATGAATATAAATTTCTATTTTATCCTTATTTCCCAAAATTACAAGAACCTACACATACGAAAGAACGAAAATACACACATACGCACATTATCTGTTTGAAATGATGTTTTGGTAATTATGTTACATTTGTTTTGTTTTGTTGATGGTGTTTCAGTGTATTGTATGGCTAATGTTGGCAATGTTCGAGTTAGTTACGCCCAAGAGATCCAAGGGATTCGAACCTTGACTCTATACGGTAGACTTAGAAAGTGACAAATTCACACACTTTACCACTGTGCCACCTTTTCACGCTGAAGGGTGTTATTTTAGAATATGACCTACCTTTCAAGTAAAAAAAAAACAGACTGATTAGTATCCACCGTAAAGTACCCAAACTGTAATTAGCAACAGCAGTTAAAATAAATTATACTCTGTATCTATTAGAGTTGTTTACACAATTAGAGTTTCACTGTAAAGTAACTGTACATAACAATTATACTGGACTGACCGAATGACAGATGTTCATTTAATGTTAATTAATGCATTTAAAAAAAAATCCTACTGTGTGAAAGTAACGTCATTGTTCAGAAATAAAACATTCCATTGACAAAAAAATAGATGTACAATATAGGAATATTTGAAAATATATTATATATTTTGAAAAGTTTATATTTTATATATTTTGACAATATACAACTATTAGGAAAATATAATTAAAATCGATAGGACTAATACAAATATTACAAAGATTTGATTTTAACAGAAAGACACGGATATAGGTTTTATTTTTTTTACTTAATTGTCAAACAAAGGCAAATCGAATTTAATTAAGGCCCGCACATAAAGTTTTCCAACCACTAACATCATCACATCAACCTTACCCTAATCAATCATAACATTACACGAATGTCGATAAGTCTTTTTAGCCTTGGCCTGTTCAAACAATACCAGTTCACGAATTTTTAGAATTCTGTTTTGCATTTATGTTCTAGATTGTTCTACTAAATTTCTAAATTGTAAATTGAAAAAGACACCAAAAGTGTGGAAAATAGTATCGTCTCCCCTTTAATTAACATGATATGAACATTTATTCTTTTAAAAGAATGCCACATTTAAATATGTAAATATGTGTCAGAATAATGTAGAGCATACACGTGCTAGATGTGGCGGTTATTAGGGGAGATGAGTGCGACCAGTTGCGGAACTAGAAAAAAAGGTCCACCCCGCAAAATTTTTTTAGCCCCCCCCCCCCCCCCCCCAATATAAAAAATATATAGCTCTATCTCTCTCTCTCTCTCTCTCTCTATATATATATATATATATATATATATATATATATATATATATATATATATATATATATATATATATATACCAACACACAATACGAACATAGGATACTCATTGCTGGCCTGTTCGGGTTTAAAAAGAAATTTGTTTTTTTCCCATAAAAACAAATATCAAAATCATGCCATGTTTGTACGTGCATTAGTGTGTTTTGTAAAAATCAGTTTTATTTTATCTCTGCTATAGATCCTCTAGTGATCTAGTCGGCCTGAAGAATATAAAACATAAAAGCCTTGTAGAAGTAATGTTCTCTCGTGTTATGATTATTTTTATGTTTTTTTTGTATTTTTATTATTAATTATTAATTAATTATTATTAATTTTAAATACATTTCCTTTTTATACAATGTCATTTTTTAATAAGTATTTATATAAAAAAATAATTAATGGAAGTTATTGCTTTTTAATTTGTTTAGTACAAATCTATTAAAAGGAGTCTATGAGCACCCATATTTGACTATTTAAAAAAGGGAAATTAGTCATGTAAATTGTTTCAACGTTTGCTTATTTTTGCCAAGTTTAATTGTAGGTGAAAAAGGACTCGGCTTTCACAGTGGTTTAAAAACAAAAGGAAAAAGAATATACAAGAGCGTGGGGTGAAGTCTCCCCACCCCCCTCATCAAGTTAAAAACCAAACAAATGCGTCACAGATGTTAGACCCTTTTTTGCCTCTCGATAACAGATGGTGAAGTAAATAATGAGATGCTAATCACCGGTGTATGTAGAGCAGATCGGGTTTAACCGCCCGTCACATTATGGAAATATCTCAGGTTTGTAGTTGAGTCTTCGTTCAAATAATTCAACTGTAAAACATTAGGTCTTGTATTTCGTAAACTGTTGTTTTCGCAAACATATGACATATAATGGACATATAATTCACTTTATACGTGACATAAAAACATTGACATATTAAGTGTTTGAATGTCCATCTTTAACATACACAAATACACAACATATATAGCCTATATAATGTATATATATATATATATATATATATATATATATATATATATATATATATATATATATATATATATATGTGTGTGTGTGTTTGTGTGTGTGTGTGTATAATTATACCATATAAACCCCTACCACTGTTCGCTGTAATATTTAGACTATTTTCTGCATAGCATAAAGGTATCTTTCTATATGTTCTACTAGCCGTCCCGGCCAGGCCCTGCTCTGGCTTCTGTGAAAAACCTATCAGTAAAGGACCATGACATGTGTGTTTTGTGATCAGCATATATCCGGCATTGTGCACCCTAACCACAACCTACTAAAACCAAAGTCAAGGATCATGGTGGCTTAATCCTAATGTTTCCAATGAAACAAACACTCTGGATCACACAATAGAACTTTCAAGTTGATATGTGTTACAATTTTATTAAGTTAGAATACAAGCAAACGTTTGGAATCGAAACAGTTTCCAATATAGTCTGGAACCCAGGGCTCTCACGTGATGCATCACACAACGCTGAAGCTCCTTCAACATTAATACAGAGCTGAAAAAAATGTTGTTCTAAACTTAGATTCACTTTAGGGTTAATTAGGTGATGCTTATTTCCAGTGGCGTAGCGAGGTCGGGTGTCACCCGGTGCCGCACTTGATGTTGTCATCCCCCAGAGGCGTAGCGACCCTTCCCGGGGACAAACTTTCAAATTTTCGATTTGCACCCCCCCCCCTCAAACTTTCGATTTCCACCCCCCCCCCCCTCAAGTTTTCGATTTGCACTCCCCTCCCCCTCAAACTTTCGATTTGCACCCCCCATCAAATTTTTCTCTATATATTTTGCTGTTTTTTGCCTTGGTGTCACCCCCCTAAATGGTGTCACCCGGTGCGGTCCGCACCCCCCGACCCCCCCCCCCTCCCCCCTCGCTACGCCTCTGCTTATTTCCGTCAACGAAATACGAAATGAACAAAGCGATCATTTTGGTTTTCAAGTAAAATAAGCACTGTGCATATTTCCGTCAATGGGTATTCAATGGAATAAATATACTTCAAGAGATGTTAACCTAAACTAACTCAGTTAACATTCTTAATATTTATGAGAAACACAATTTAACACTATCTCTAACCCCTTTCTTAATCACGGCAAGGTTTCAGATTTTTAAATGCATTCCCTGAAATATATTAGATTTTCAATGACAAGAATAGTTACGTATTGTTCTTAGGTTTTCCGTAACAAAGATTATAGAAACAAAATTTAACACTATCTCAATCCCCTATCCTAATCACGTAAAGTTTTCAAATTTTTTTCTCTGATTTATAATGGGGTTTTAATGACAAGAATAGTTACTTGTTTTCTTAAGTTAAAAAAAAGCAAGAACCGAGTTTTCCATAGCAATGATTATAGAATGTTAAAAAAATGTTCTACTTGAAATACATGAAAAGTGTAAACACAAACACTTTTACTTTATATACTTGAAGAACGTAACAAAATACTTTCTGCTTGATATACTTGATGAATATATTAAAACACTTGTAGAACGTAACAAAAATACTTTCTACTTGATATACTTGAAGAATTTAATAAAACATTTAAAGAACTTAACAAAAATACTTTCTACTTAATATACTTGAAGAATGTAATAAAAAACTTGAAGAACGTAACAAAAATACTTTCTACTTGATATACTCGAAGAACGTTAACAAAAACACTTTCTATTTGATATACTTGAAGAATGTATTAAACCACTTTCTACTTGATATGCTCGAAGACTGTATTAAAATAATTTCTACTTGATACAATTGAATAAAGTATTAAAACACTTGAAGAACGTAACAAAAATACTTTCTACTTGATATACTTGATATACTTTAATAATGTATTAAAAACTTGAAGAACGTAACAAAAATACTTTCTACTTGATATACCTCTCTAGCATTTCCCATCCTTGCGTTTTGTAGGCCCATGTTTCGAACAGCTGGCAAACCGAAGATGGCATTCATTGAGGTAGGTCCTGTCATCACTCCCACAGACTGGTTTTATTTCATCTGTACAATCGGATGTCCAACATTCACCATTTGCACAAGCTAAACATCCGTAAACAAAAGAAAAAAAAATATTAAAAACTCAACAACAATTTCGGAAAAATGAAACAGGAATGATCTGCCATAAACTTTGTAGTAATTTTTTATGTAACGAGCTTAACCGCGGCGTATCATACGCCGCTATTTAGTTGTTTTATTTTCTACTTTTTAGTACTTCATTGTTAGTGAATTCGACACTACCATCCCTTCCATCCAACCCCTTACCCCCCGCCACCGTTAAAGCAGCCGTCCGTGACGACAATTTACGGACTGAAAAGAAAAAATCAAGCAGAAATTGTTACCTCCCCTTTGTTTTAAATCGTTAAAAACTAGATTATATGCCCCTAGTAGCCGTCACTTAGTCGAACCGGCTCTACTATTGTAAACATTCGGGGTGAACCATAGCTCACCTGACTGGTGGGGATGAGGGTGGTGGCTAAGATGCGTGGTGTCTCTTATGGTCCCCATGAAGAGAATTATATATATATATAGATTAGATAGATAATTAGGGGTATGACACTATCAGTGCAATCGAGCAGTTTAATTGTTGTTTTTGTTATACTTTTAATCAATTTTATTCTAATATTTTTCTTTAACTTATATTGAGAACAAAGTAAGTATTGTAATCATGCTGAATAATTAACCAATATTTTGACATTTGTCGCCGTTTCAAATCTCTATATTTTATCATACACGGAAGATACTTGATGTATTGTAATAACGTCATCAATCTAAATCAATATTTTGACAAATTTTGACGTTTTAGCTTCTTCAGCAACGGAAAATTTCGATTCAGTCTTCGTCTGTCTGTGTGTATGAAAACATGATAATTGAGTTCCGTTTTAGTTAGGTTGACAACAAGTTGACAAGTATTGTATCAAATTAGTAATTGTTTTTTTGTAAGCCTTAGATGAATTAACGGTAAACGGAAGTAGCAACTACTCTACTTCCGGTTTCTTAAAAGATAATAAATCGAATAACTAGAATACTGTTTAAGTTAGGAGATTGAAATTTTACATATACGTGTTACATTATGTGACGGGTTTTCTATCAACAATTAAACGATTTCCGGTAACGTGTAGTGACACTTAATTTCCGTGGGAACTCGATAACTTGGTTACTGCTTTATTTATTCAAAAGAAATTTTTATATGTTCTTACGATTTTATACCCGGATTACTTTTAATTTTTTTTCAGTGACCTCTGATAAAAAGAACATGTTTATTGCTCTTTTTTTTCTGGTTTCTAAATGCATATACTTTTAGAAACGTTTTAGTTAGGTAAAAGAATTTTAATACATATGTATGAGTACGACTTGGTTTTATGTTGTCAAATTTTGAATGATTTTTTGGGTGACCTGTAGTAGTATTTTACGCTATTTTTTAAACATTAAAAAAATATCACTTGTCTTTTAAAAAAACGTTCTCATCAACCTGATCTCGATGATAATGCATTGTTGCATAAAATGTGACTTAATTAGATGTTTCATTAGTTTCTTTAAACTTAATCAATGTTACTTCATAAAATAGGCCTACTCATTTTCCATGCTAGAACAATCCCGTTTTATTTCAGATAAATATAATAAGAAAATATAGTCACCACTAGAGTCATAAAATAAAATAAAACATAAATAAATTTATTTTAACTTACAGAACAAGCCAAGGACTAGAATGAGGTAAACAACAGACATGGTAGATCTAGTCATTTTCTATCTCGTGGAAACTGAAAAACAAATGTATAACCAAACGTATATATATATATAAATATATATATATATATATATATATATATATATATATATATATATATATATATATATATATATATATATATATATATATATATATATATATATATATACCGTAAAATACTGACAACATAATGGTTTGTACTCACAAGTATCGTGTAGCAGTAAAGAGTGTTCGACTGATATCTGTCTAGTTTCAACTACAATTTTTGGTTTTTATTTCAACTCATTCAACCCATTAACCTACTGACCTTGACCTCGTTATAAACATGTTTTCTCTCTAGGGCTGGAACAACATATTTTTCTCTTTAAAATTTGCATTCGATTATAAGAATGAAGATCACATACTCCCAGAATCATAACGCATCAGTACTCTTAGGTTTAAACCTAACCTAATTACTTATACTTTTAAATTTCATTCATCGTAACTTGGCAAGAGACCCACAAACTAAGTATATCTAGTTCGGTTTAATTAAAAATATCAACAATAACATAGATATTTACAGTTGTGTCGGTATACCTATCTTTACATGAATATTCATTTTATTCTCAATCTTCATTTACGTCTACGTCTGCTTCTGCGTCTACGTTTTCGTTTAGGTTTACAGTACTTTCCAAATCCTGAACATCTACATCATAATCCATTTAACATCCACAATCAAATCTAAATTTGGACAAACAACATACCCATACGATCACAACAGCCATATCTTAACCATAACGATATCACGGCCCAACTTCACACACATCCAAACCCACACATATATTACACACATCAAATACACACAAACACACACACACTTTTTTTTAATTTTTTTTACACACCACGTGTAGGTATTCAACATAACATAATTATCTTTATGTAAATACTTAAGTTCATCATACTCTCTGTCCCGGGCAGATGAGGCTCTGTGGTTGGAGACAGCAACCCGTCTAGGACAGAGAACTCTAAAATCAAACAACAACTGCTGCCTTGTAGTTTATTCTTGGTTGGATAAAGGCTATGGAAGCAAATCCAAATAAGAAAAGCAGGCTGAAATCGGAGTCAACGACCTATATGGCGAAACGAATAACAAATTGACATGTAATACTTTATTATGTTGGAGGGAATCTCTTCCAACATTAGAACGTAGAAGAAGAAGACAAATAAAAGATTCGTTTCTGATTGCCTATGAGTAACGAAGGTTATTCGGTCAAATCGTAAAAGATAAGCTTGCGGTAATCGAAGTCTACAGGTCATACCAAACTTGTTGGCAACTAATACTTAATTGTGTTGGGAATTTCCTCCAACATTATATTTAAAAACAAAAAAATGATAGTTTGAAATGAACTTCTTCATATTTTTTTTTTACTTTCTCGTATATACGAAGTATAGAGAAAGTCTTGCAATCGTGCACAAAAATAACATGAAATTTTGACAGTTTTCAACGTTTTACACATCAGTCCTTCATCACATCCGGAGTATATATTTTAATCAGGCAAAAATTAAATAATAATCATTTAAAAAGTTAAAAAAAAACCCACGTTTTCTGATTGAACTAAAAAGTAGAAAATAAATGCTATACATCACAATAATGAAAGCGATCACTGTACTATAAGCGATCAAAAACGTGGGGCGCCGAAGTAAAAGTTATATTACTATTGATTAGATAATACTATTGACTTTTATTAGGGAGCTTGTAGAGAGTCAACAGTATTAGAAACTCTAAGAAAATCACGGCGCCCCACGTTTTTGATCGCTTATAGTAGAGTGATCGCTTGCATTATTGTGATGTATAGCATTTATTTTCTACTTTTTAGTTCAATCAGAAAACGTGGGTTTTTAAAAACTTTTTTAATGATTATTATTGTCTACTTTTTAGTCTTTGTCTGTTTTTTTGCATTAAAATCTTGCTATCGATTTTATCTTATCACTTTTTTTTGGGTAAACGAAGACAACTCGTAAAAAGACAACTCGTAAAAAGACAACTCGTAAAAAACACGTTGTGTGAATACGTTACTGACTAGAACACATAGATTTGAACCCGTGTCGAGTGGGATAGCAATCGTGTGCCCAACCACTCGACCATATCGTCTCCCCCATACTGGCCACCAGTTGTTACGGTTGTTTGTACATAAATTACAGTTATTGGGTTATGTCCCTTTTTCCCCACGTTTTTACTACAACGAGCCGACCCGCGGCGTATCATACGCCGCTATTTAGTTGATTTATTTCTACTTTCAGTAATTCATAATTTGTGAATTCGACAGTACCAATGCTGCCACTGAAAATATTTGCTTTAAAACACTAACCCCCCTCCTTTCCCCTAACCCCGACCCTACACCCCCCCCCCCGTGAAAGCAGCCACCTCTTAGTTACCTCCTGTAAGTTTAAAGTCGGTTCAAACTTAATTATCTGCCCCTAATAGCCGTCACTAAACCTGGCTGTACGGTTTGTAAACATTAACGTGACCACAGCTCAGCAGACCATGTGGGAGTGGGGTAGGGTGGTAGTGATAGTGATAGAGAGGAAGAGTGGGGACTGTAAGGAGGCGCTTGCAGCTTGTTTTCTAACGGCTCGCAGAGGAGAATTATATATATATAGATTATATAGCGGTCTAAAATGCTCAATAAAATGTTTCCATGGATCAATTTAGTAATAATAACAATTGAATATTCTATTGTCATCCAAAACAAAGCTTCCCTGAAAATTTCAGCGCGCTAGCTAACTGGGAAGTGCCAGAAATTTCGATCGCATGATTTGATTGGAAAGACAGAGACGAAAGCAAGTTAAAGAAAACGTGGGAAAATACAAATATATAAACATTTTGCCGTTTTATGCGTTATCGATTTGGAAAAACTGGACTTTGCTATTCTGTCCGTATGTCTGTGTGTAGCCTATATGTGTCTGTGTGTCTGTAAACACGATAACTTGAGTACCGTTACAGCTAGGTTGATGAAATTTCATATATAAATATTTTATCAAAATCGTAGATCCGTATCAACCTTTGAGCGATTTCCGATAACCGGAAGTGCAACTTTTTTGCTTTGAACTTTTCAAAAGCCCATAACTTGAGTGCTATTTTAGATAGATAAATCAAATTCCACATGTAAGTAAAATATCTAATTCTCTACCTTCTGTCACATTTTGAGTAATTTCCGTTGGCCGGAAGTACTAATTTACGCTATTTCCGATTTCTCAAAAAAACGAATGTAAATTTTTAAAGTACTAATAAAATTGCGCACTATTATGCATATTTTATTTGGCGTTCACATGTGTGCAATTCTGTTTTCTACGAGATTTTATTCTATTTTAAAAAGTGTAAGTATTTAAAATGGATTAAAATTCATGTCTATATCCCGAGTTCCAATCCCCTGTTGTTTTATATAAGAATATTCTAGAAAGTTTAGGGGAGATCGATCCCGGTTTATTTAAAGATAATTTAATACTCGAACAGAATAAATGTGTTATTAAACTTAACGACATAGAAATTAGTACGTTTGGAAAGCAGTAAAAGGTAAACATGTTGTCATATTTCATAGCGGATCATTTTAATTAAATCGACCTGGATATACTTAGTTTGTGGGACTCTTGCCAAGTTACAATGAATGAAATTTAAAAGTCTTTAAAAGTATTTAAATTAGTTTTAAACCTAAGAGTACTGATGAATTAAAAAAATAAAAGTTTCATACACTACAACGCTTATTAAACATCGATTGGATTAAATGACCATTAACATTAAATGTTTAGTTAGTATAACACGTATTTTACCACCTGTCTCCTCTCCCCCTCGCCCCACCAACTCAACACATTGCCAAATAAAGATATGAGCTAAAATGACGTCACACCAGAGCACCCACTCCAGGAGAATTTTCAACCATATTGGCTGAAATCGGTCAACATAGGACTTGATTAATTTTTATTAAAATTTACAAAATAAATTTTTACCAACGTAAAACAAAGACTGAAATTAGGGTTATAATATTCCAAAAGCGTGTCGTTACACTTATTTAACATAATAATTTTCCTTCACAAAGCACGTAAAATATGTTGTTGTACTCTGATCTAAAGTATAAGAAAAAAAATGGATACACTTTGTGTGTGTTGAATATAGTTATTTTTATAGTGGTGTATTGTTATATATTTATATCATGATATTTTCTTCAATGAAGTGCATACATACAATCCTTTTGCTATTTGCGTTTTCATTTTATTTTTATTACATTACTGTGTAGAATAATACTGAATTTTAACTAGTTGTTATGTTTTTTTTTTGTTTATTTAACTGACTATAACCAGTACATCTACATTGAACTAATATAGTTGTAATATTTTCATTGTCATTTTTCTGGTGGGTAACCAGTAAGGATTCAACAAGGGGAGCTAATATAATAATTCTAGTGCGCATGTCTGACATAGTTATTTCCCTTGAATACTTTCAAAACTGCAATAGTTGCTTCAAACAATGAGCTATACTATGGAAAATTGTTTAATTTCTTTTTAAATCAAGTAATTTATCAACAAAACAGTCGATATATGATATGTGGTGTGTTTATGAGCTTATAGAAGTGTGAATGAATCTTGTTGATGGCATATAATGAATGAATGCAATCATGACGCCAAATGTAAGATTGTGACAATGTGTTGTTGGTACGGAGAGAAAGCCTAGTTTAATTTCGTCTAGGTGCTTGAAGTGAAAGGTAGTTTCATTGAGTTTATAGTGGAAATTGACGTCTAATTGTTTAAATTGAAAGTCTGATTGACTCGTTTTAGTGTTCTAGAAGTTCAGTATACGTTTCTGGGAAGAAAATAGTTTTGTCGGTGTAATTCAATCAAATATCTATGGGTAAACAAAATTTCAGACTTGTCAGTTAATTGTTCGTATGTTAGTATGGCTGGTTGAATATGTACCCTCAAAGACGTAACAAAGTGATGTAAAGAAACATTATTTTCTGCACTTTATAAGCGTCATTGCGTTAGTTTATTTTGTAACACTAATTTAAATTAGCCGGGATAAAGAATTTAAATACATTAATTACAAAATTATGTATAATGGTAAAACAAAAAAATAGTCATTTAAAATGTAATAAACCAAGAAGACATGGTGTAGACTAGTAATCAATATTCCAACCCAATCCATATTTAGCTAATCGATACTTTGCAGTAGAATAGAGCAATAAATCAATACAGTAAAACATGATCGTTGCATATGATCCCATTCGCTTCATTTGACTGTCTCAGCACACCGCAACAAGCACATCATGGGTTGGATTATTCCATATAGTATATATTTTATATTAAATGCATAAGAGTTTACTATAACGTTGGCCTATAGTATTTGTTTAAATGAAATTAACGCAAAGGATTACCTGATACTGATTTATATTAACGTGTATTTCGTATTTTACATAAGATTTACTTTATGATATTTTATAAGATGGTTTAATTGGAGGGTTAAGAATTTCATGTTCAGAGTTGAATATTGTTTACTTCTTAGGAAATATTTATGTGTATGGGATTATCATCGAAGAAACATATTCTGCTTCTAATTGAACCTATAAATGGGATTTGCGGATAGGGTACATAGTTTTTGTTTTTTATATGTTGCATTTTTATTGCCTCAATAAAAGTATTTAAATAAATCCACAAAACAGATTTAAATATTGATATTTTTTTAGCGCAATTTCCATACTGGCAATTGCGTTTAATAATTCGTCATTTCTGGATGGATGGATGGATGTGTGGATGTGTGTCCGCAGCTTTAAGTCGTATCTCCTCCTCAACGAAGCAATATCGAGGACTAGTTCCAAGAGCAAATATGTTAAGCAAGTTCTGAGGATGATTGTGGGCAAAAAAAATTCCCGGAATTCCTTCCTGGATTTCCCGGAAAAGCAAAAAAACTTGAAAAAATGCAGTTTTTGGCCCATATCTCGGCAACCAGACAACTTAGCGACTTGAAATATTTACCAATCGATTCCTGCCATAATTTAGAACACTATTGCCGAAGAAAGTTTTCAAAAATATCCTTTCGTTCGGTCACAAAAAATTAATTTAGAACAAATAAGTTTATATTTATAGGATGATATTTACTAATTTACTTTTTTAAAATGAGCATCGTGTAGGCCTACTCGTTAAAATAAAACTATTTCCGTTGATATAGGTTAATATAGTTGTCTTTTTTAGCGCAATTTCCATACTGGTTTCTATTTTGTTTTGAATTATTAAAACTACTTGTGTTGCATTATTTATTTGCTGAATATATGATTTATCTCGATTTAAAATTGTTATGGATAACATAAGGAAATTGCGCTTAAATTGTCACTAGACTTTTTATTAACTTGTTTACTCATAATAGTTTAAGTCAGTATACTGTTTCAAGATTTGTCTCAGTAAACTTTGTAGAGGTTCCTTTACTGATACTGTTAATAAATTGCACCTACACCTACAAGTCTGAAAAAAATATCTGCATTATTACATTTTAAATTGACCCAAAAAATGGTTTTATGTCGAAGAGCAGAACGAATAATTTTCGCCAAGAGAAATTTCTTTTGATACATACTTTTTTTTCAAGCTGATGACAAATTGTATAATTTTTTTTTTTAATTTCATTCTCTTTGGTTCATAAATAACAGCTTAATAAAATTCAACTATGTTTATTTGTTTCTTAAATACAAGTGTTTACTAAAATTCATTATTTCTTAAGCTTGTCTTCCGTCAGGTGTGAAAACTATAACAATATAGATAGATAATCAATACAAATAAAACTAGGTTTATGTATATGAATTTAATTTGTAATATATATTTTATAAAACAAGAAAATAAACTTTATATTCAAACTTATAAGTCGACGTTTTAATACGAGAAAATTAAGTTAAAACTTATTATGAAACTTCATTTAAAAAAAAAAATTAAATACTAATCAATGTCAGAACTGTAGAATCTTGCATGGTTACTCTATTTTACAAAATTAGATTGCTATGAAAATTTAAAACAAAATTAAAATGTATGCATAAAGGGTCATCCATAAATGTTGTTACGTTTTTTAAACGATTTTTACTCCTCCGCCCCCTCCCCTCCGTCACAAATTTTCACAAAAAGCCAGACCCACCCTCTTAAAAATACGTCACACCTCAGCCTACAATATCTCTCAAATTTGCAGTTGAATTTTTCTTAACATACTGATATTTTTCTAAAATCTTCTTTTAAATATATGTCATCATAGGGTATTTTTATCAATGCCATTTTTTTTAAAAACAGTTTTTTTAAAAGCGAAATAACGGCTAAAATACGTTTTCTACCATTCTTTTTTCATAATGCAAAAGTGTGACGTCACACCATCTGAACCACCCACCCCCTCCCCCATCATCACACACATTCACAAAATTACGGACCCCCCTCCCCCCTATGAGAGTGGCGTCATTTATGGACTACCCCTTTAAGAAGAAAGAATTATATACAGGTGGAAATATTTAAATTAAATTTATAAAAGTTTAAATATAAATATTTGACGACGCAAATGTTTAGACAAGCCAAATTATGTTTAGATATATCTGTTTATAATAGGAATCTTGTATGAAAAATATGCAACTCTCCTCTATCAAATGTTACAACTAAATATCTACGTTAGTAAATCAAAGAGTATTAGAGTTAAATAGCTATTGCTTAACCATTGTGCTCTGCTACATACATCAACTCTTTCATTGTCGACTCGTGCACTGCTTCACTATGTCACACATTGACTGTGTTATGTTAGCCGACATGGTTGACTAGTGCACCGATCCATTATTTCACACATCAACCTTTACACGTTAGCCGACATGGTCGACTCCCACAGAGCTACAGTTGATCAGCCTCGTGTCACTCTCCCCACTGTGGTTGTGGGGGTGACCCAGCCAGTACCCCGACCCGTTTAACGGCTGACCCAGGATCAACACGTACGACCCGCTGCTCCCCGGGCAGGTGGGCGTGTCGTAGAAATACTTGCACCAATTCTGGCTCTCGCGGACCTCCTTGACACTCTCCTCCCTCACGACCCGGCCAAAACTCAGCCGCTTAGGCCCGCTGTGAGGGTGGGATGCGATCACCACAGGCTTGGGACTTTTATCTTTGTATACCTTATACGACTTTTTCTGTAGATCAGCGAGAGTGGTTATTAGCTGTTTCAAATTATTTACAAGTACTTCATCATCTGTCGCGCATTCAATAGAACACCAATCCGCTTGTCCACTTTCCTTTTCCGTATCAATAAGACGGAAACCGTAGGCTTTCTTCACTTTGTCTTGGTTGAGATCTTCGTCGTAGAAAAACTCAAACTCCACTTTCTCAACGTCCTGTTGACTTGGGACAACGTGAAAAACTGTCGTTACTGTCAAAATCCACCACGCATGGTGTTTTTTCTTTTCTTTACACGACGGAATCGGACAGTTGAAATCTTTGGCCGGTCTAATTTTCTGCAGGTAACCGGATCCACATCGATATTCATCAGGACTTAATTTAATAAGAATTCGCCCGGTAAGGCGAGCTTGAGTTAAAAACAATTGTCGATCATCCTCACTGAAATTAAATCCCTTACACAACTCAGTCAGTGCCTTGGTCTCTACATCAAAGACGGTAAAATAGTAAGGATGTTTTTCTATCTTCAGACATTTTTGATAATTTGTTCTCCAATCTTCATTTGTTTTAATTACAATTTCTTCAGTTTTGGCTGTAAAATATTATTGCATAAAAAAATAATAATATAAAAACACGAATTCTATTAAATGTATTTTTTTAAATAAACGAATATTCGTAAAAAGAATATCAATATAAAACAAACTTACCTAGTTTATATTTTTTCTGAGAAAAACTCATTTATGTGGTTGTTATCAAGACAGTGCAGCTGCTATAGTAAAAAAAATGTATATACATACACACATACACATTTATATATATGTATATAATAAATATACGATGAAAGCTGAAAGTCTACTGATTGCAAACGCAGTAATAACGAAATACATTGCCATAAATTAAAGCGTTTACATTTTGTATAACGGAGGCAGTCATGGTTATTTTTAAAATTCCGAAAACATGACTATATACAATAATTCTCGATTTTCCCAATTCCAATCGTCATTTATATATATAGATATGTTTGTTATATATATATATATATATATATATATATATATATATATATATATATATATATATATATATGAATATATACTTATTCCTGGAAATTTTGTAGCAATTTTCTTGGGAAGGGATTAACTAGGACGTTTGCCAATGAAGTCAGCATTAAACATACGTCCTAAATCTTTGTTTTTCGATGACGTAAGATTGATTTTTAAACACACATGTGTATTGTTGCAGAAATAGAACTATCGTAGCCTGAGTCAGTTATATTTATAAACAAAATACATTACCTTATAACTTTTAAAAAATAAAATATTATGTTCACTGTTGTATGTTATTGTTGTAGTACCTAAAATAAAATCCTGTAATAATTACTCGAGGCATTCTGATTAGTAGATAAGCTGTATACCTCCCGATAACACGGTGACCAGAAAGATGCGCAACGGAAAAAAGCGCAAACAGAAAAAAAGCGTACCCAGAAAAATGCGCAACCAGATATATATATATATATATATATATATATATATATATATATATATATATATATATATATATATATATATATATATATATATATATATATATATATATATATATATATATATAGCTGACTTTTATAGTTTAGTTTTTACTTTTTGTTACAATAACGTTTAGTTTGAAAAAAAAACCTAGGATGTTGGGGTTTGAAAATACATTCAAGCAAACAACAAACGACTATGATCAGTTTATAAACATGTTTTTTCTATTGGATTGGCAACAACCTTTGGTTCTCGACAAAACGTACATACTATAATAAGGATGAAGATTACAAAAATAAACAACCATAACCGATACCATATCAACAGCCACGCAAATATTTACATGTTCATTGGTATATATTTCAACATATAAATAGTTATTTTATTCTTATTCTGCTTCAACGTCTGCGTCTGCGTCTGCTTCTGCGTTTACATTTACAACAATATCCAAATCCACTATAACATCTAAATTGTTATCCATCATTATCGATCACCGCATCCATTCTACTCACACTCACACCCACAATGTTTATTGTATTACGTGATATTCAATACTGATCGATTGAACACAAAATTAATTTGTATTCACTTGTGTTAAAGTACAATTAGCATTGTGACCATTGTAACTCAGTCCATTGTATTTTATTTTAAGTCAAGCGACGCTACTCTAATAATCCCACAGGGCATGACATGCTCATTTAGTTCCCTTGTACATCTGCAGACAATAATCGTTGTTTTAGCGGTATTGGAAGTGACAATAGCGCGCATTGCAGTTATCACTTGTGGGGGGGGGGGGGGGGGGGAGGCAGTCGTTTCCCAATCGAAGTATTTCTACCATCCCCACACCCCCGCCCTTATAATTTATATAATTAATAATATAATTTATAATGTATATTGATAATTTATACTTAACCAGTAGATAATTTTGTTCCGCCCCTCCATCCCCGATGCTACCTCTCCCTCCACCCTCGGAGACAAAAGTCATAAACACTGAATCAGTGGCGTAGAAAATGGTTTATATTTAATTGTCTTTTAAAATTGATGGATCACTGTATGTGCACATGAAAAAAAACGATCACATTTATTGCTGCATACATTTCAAAGTGTCTGTTTAATTATATGCATAATTAATATACCGTAATTAAATGTATACATTCGTTCACTATTTAGGTAGTCTTATTTTTTTTAAAGTCAAATAAAAAAAAGTTGTAAATTAACTCACTAACAGTGAGGGCATGTTGAAGCCTTGTCATCAATACTCTAACCCAATCGATATTTAACTGATTGATATCTTGAAGTAGATTATATCTACAAATCAATAGTAACACAGCGGCATTGTGTTTGGCCCCATTCGTGTATTACCTGTGTATCTTGGATTAAAGCTGTTTATATTATTCCGTTTTGTTTTCACTTAGAAAAAATTGTGGATCTATAGTTATTTAAACATATAGGTCTATTAAAAGAATTGAGATTTGGAGTTGTGGTTGATATTTATAATAATATCATTCTGAGGATAGATAACCATTTATTCGTTACGAAGATAAATATGTGATTTATGTGTATACGATTAGAAACAAAGAAAAAAACAACAAAGCGTTTAGTTGAAGCAATGGATAACATTGCTCTTCTTTTTAGATAATGACGGACGTTGCTTTTGTATGTAGTAAATGGAAGTTACATTTTGTAACCTGGTAGTGCGGGGCAAAATAAATAGAGTGTACATGGTTCTATAGCTTCGGCGTATGTAAGAATGGTGTCTGGTAGTTTTAGGTTGTTTTCATTGCTTTCATAATTTATTTAAGTAAAACGTTTAAAACAAAATAATTTACATTTTTAATTTTACTTTTACACAGTTCTCTCATTAAATTTTAAAGCCACTATATTGCTTTATGATTTAGGGACGGCGGGGCAGAATGGTAGAGGTCACGATTGATTTCGCGGAAGTCTCTATATCAGATCTTGATCTGTAGTTTGTATGTCGTCGAAAACTCTACCCAGCTCAGAAGGGTACCTCACCTCATGTTATGGAAAGTAAAGGCGACTGGGCATATGGTGACTACACTACCGCCTGTATTCCGAAGTCACTGAAATAGATAAACTCTACTTCATGTGCCTCTTGTGTCTTGGGTTCAAGCAAGAACATACGATGATGATGAAGCTTTGTCTTAGTTATTTTGTAGAGTTCAATTAAATTGAAACAATTATACCCAGCACAACAAAGCCTTGTAGGAATAATTCGTGAAATAACATTTTATAAAAATCAAAATAATACTTCTGAAAATCAGAAAATAAAATTATTATTTAATAGGTTCACCATACACAGTTAAAAAAATATTGATTTTTTTTAACTTTAAAATGTTATTACTAAGCAACTTTACAACAACAAAAAAAAAAAACAATTACAAAATTTAAGTTTTTACAAAACATAGTTACAATATATTTTTTTTATCAAAATGTATAATTAGAAATATCATAACATCTAATATGTTGTAATAAAATATATTTTAAAAACAAGATCAATGTAATACACAGTTATTAAAAATAATTACAGAACAAAAGGGGTTTGCATTTCAAAAGATTCTAGCCTTTACAATATCTTTAATTATTTAAGTAATGGTGCGCAGATGTCTTTGTTGTGATGCTTACTTTATCGTACAGTTTTTGATTATAGAAATGTTTTTAACAAAACGTGGTCATTTTTTTCAGAATGAAACGATAATTATTTTATGTTATTTAAATTTTATTTTAGCATTTCTGTAACATCGTAACATAGCTTGTAAAATCAAATTTTAAAAGAAAGGCTTCGGTATGTAATTAAATATATATATATATATATATATATATATATATATATATATATATATATATATATATATATATATATATATATATATATATATATATATATATATATATATATATATAAAATATAGTCCATTTATAAGTTCGATCAAACATATTCAACACAATTTTCTTAATTTATGTTAATTTAATCTCATCTATTTTAAATGTATTAGTAATAATTTCTAAACATAATAACCCCGCCATATAGAAAAACAAATATTTCAAAGTCAATATTTTAAAACACAGCAATTATACTTAATTAAATCAACAATGCAATGGGATTTCAAAAATATACAAACTAATTATCAAGCTTGATTTATTTAAACATTTTGATTTAGAAATCTTTTTTTTAAATGTTACCCTCAAGTTTACAATTTTCCCGATACAATTTTGAATAACAAAGCGAGGAAATAAAGAGCGAAAAGGGCGTTTTTAATTATACCTTTGTTGTTAGAGTAGATCAATTAATTAATTTTTAAATTTAAAGATAATTAATTAAGATATTTATTTAACCCATTTGATATACTCTAGTAGTAAGAGGGTGAAACTTCTGTCTACTGTAGTGTAGAGATGGTTAAGCAATAACTATGGTCTGCTATAGTATTGAGTATCAGTTTTCTGGAGTAGATAGAAGGTTAAAACATAATTGTACTGCAGTAACTAAGGGGTTAACCCACGTGGTCTACAGTAGTAGCAAGGGGGTTAACTCACGTGTTTTACTGCAGTGGCAAGAAAGTTAACAAATGTGTTTTACTGGGGTAACAAGCGGATTAACCCAAGTGTTTTACTGCAAGTAACAAGGGGATTAACCCACATGATCTACCCCAACAGAGCTGCAGTTGATCCCCCCTTTCCTGCTCTCCCCGCTGTGGTTGTGTGGGTGACCGAACCAGTACCCCGACCCGTTTAACGGCTGCCCGAGGATGAGCACGTACGACCCGCTGCTCCCCGGGCAGGTGGGCGTGTCGTAGTAGTACTGGCACCACCTCTGGTTTTCCCGCACCTCCTTGACGTTCTTAGACACCTCCGTTTTTCCCACGCTGATCTTTTTCGGCCCGCTGTGGGGGTGGGAGACAATGATAACAGGTTTGGGATCTTGATCTTTGTATTTTTTGAATAGTTTCGTCTGTAGCTTTGAAAACTTGGCAATTTGTTCTTCTAGTTTTCCAACCAGCTCCATGTTATGGGTAACGCATTCAATGAAACACCAATCAGACGAGCCGCCTTCTTTTTCCGTGTCCCCCAAACGTAGGCCGAAAGCGTTCTCAACATTCAACTTGAAGTCATCCTCATGGTAATCTTCATCGTAGAAGAATTGAAACAGCAATTCTTTCAAGTCGTCTTTATTCGGGACAACATGAAAAACAGTCGTCACTGTTAACGTCGCTGATTTGTGTTGTTCGTGTTTTTTTGCACACTTTTCAATCGGGCAATTTAAATCTTTATTTATTCTTAATTTTTGTAAACATCCGGTTCCGTAACGTTTACCTATTTTGATCCGCCCTGTAAGATTTGCTAGAATCAAAACTATTTCTCTTTCGTCTTCAGTGAACTTGAAGTCGCGATGGATATCACCTAAGCTCTTCTCCTTAAAAGTGCTGAGTGTCATGAACTCACGGTGCCTGTCATTTTTGTGACAATGTGCCAAATTGTCACTCCAGTGCTCGCCTTCCATTAACTCGACTTCTTCAGTGTTTTCTACGTATAAGATAAGCTTTATTTAAAGTTCTATACAGAGAAATGAAAATCTATACATATATAAATATATTAATGTATATAAATATACAGATGTTTATATATGTATGTTTCTGTTTGTATATGAAAGTTCAAAACTTTTTTTTTTTTTTGCATGCAGTGTTTGTTGATAGAGGAAAGAAATAATTACTATCAGTTGCATTAAACGAATTATCTTACTTAATTTGTAAAGATCCATCCGGTCATCCATTTTTAGTTATTGCTTTCTGTATGTTGTATTATAGGTGGAGCTCAGTGTCTTTTTCTTGTCTCCTGTAATGTATCAATGAACACAACCTAATTTAGAACTTAAAATTTAATTGACGATCATTATTTCACCTAATCAATAGCATGGATATAGTTATGAAAACAGAATCCATGTATAGTTTCTATACCACATATATTAAAATACAACAGTTTTTTCTTATGCAACCAAAATAAATATAATTTAGTAAATGTTATTATTGTATTGTATTTCAAACCCTATCTGTTTTGCGTTTAAAATAAACTCTACCCCTGGACGGGTTCATAAACGGTTTGTCGTCAAAATTATCAACATGAATGGATACTTGAATAAGGTGCATAGACGACTTAGATTTGTATTGAAGTAATCAGCTTTACTTTAAGAAAAAAAATCTCCTAAATTATAAATTTTTTTTCGAAATGATGGGTTTCTTGAACTTTTGGATTATTTGTCCTTATCCTAATTCAGTTTGACATCCGCTATCTAATTATATTTGGCATCCTTAGAAAGCTGGATTTCTCTGGTAGTCAATTAAATTATTTAATTTCCATCAAATCGGACACACCAAAGTTCTCAGCTGCTTCTACAAATCACACAGAAATTATATTTACTTGACTTATTATTTTTAGTTTTTCAATTGTGGTGACGGAAATTATAATGTATACTGAAATTTAAGCGATGTTAATGAGATTGCTTTAAACGAATAAATATTTTAAAAAAAGGTTTGGCGTTCTTAAATGTGTAAACAAATTAAAAATGGCGGATGTTTTTTTTTCGGAATTCAATGCCAACGGAAATTGATTTAAAATTTTGTTTTGCTGTTTAGTTTAAAAGGTGCCAAACAAAGGCAATAGTATTTAAAATACTTCAGATGTGAAATTGTAAAAATAAAAAAATAAAACTGAGCGTTTCCCGATTAATATTTCAGCGACATCATAGTAAAACTAAATATTTCTCAGGACGATGTAGGCTTATGATTTTAACAGGTTATCATAAATCATAACATAATATATATATATATATATATATATATATATATATATATATATATATATATATATATACATACATATATATATATAAATATATATATATGTATATATATGTATATATATATATAATATATATATATATATATATATATATATATATATATATATATATATATATATATATATATATATATATATATATATATATATATATATATATATATATATATGCACATATATGTGTGTGTGTGTGTGTTTGAACATAATGTGAATATGTACCAGGAAATTTGTTTTCGACTCTTCAGAAACAATTACACGAGCATACAACATTAATTATTGATCAACGATACGCTAACCACACATACGCACACAGTCGTCTAGGATTTCCTTGGAAAGGAATACGCCTCTCAACAACTTGCATTATTTGGGCGCTTTGCCAATGACGTCATTCTTTGGATTTTCAGATTGTGCTCCAGCCTGTTAAATAATACAGGGAATCCTTCTTCTGATATCTGATGTAGCTGTGTTTAAATAGCATATAAACAAATATAAAGTATGTATAAAGAAAAAAGCGCCTCTAATGGCGTTTGTAATTCTAGACAAAAATTAGTCAGTCAACAATTATACCAATGTATATACTGTACGATTAAATTGATCATATAATGAAAAGATAAAAAGCACATTTCAATATTCTGACTACATCTAAAAACACAAATAATTCCATTATATATATATATATATATATATATATATATATATATATATATATATATATATATATATATATATATATATATATATATATATATATATATATATATATATATATATATATATATATATATATATATATATATATATGTGTGTGTGTGTGTATATATATATAAAATTCATCTACAGTTATACACAATTATTAAAATGAAATACTTCGAACAGTTTCCTTAACGTTTCAAAGCTGGCAGATGTGAATTCAAAAATTCTGAATTCCTCTATCCAGTTGCCGTCTGTACTAGAACCTAACTGAACAAAATTACCAGATGATGATCGGAAAAACTAAATCTTATTCATTTTATATGCAGTTTAGAGTCAGCGTTATTTTTAAAATCTTGAAATCAGTTGCTATAATTAATTGATTTTTCGGGATTTTCTAATAGCGTTTGTTTTTAGTTTTCAGATATTGTTTTCAAAATAACTTCGGAAAAAACGAATATTTGAAGCACTATTATTTGTGTATGTGAATTATAAAACTTGAATAGATTTATACACTTTACGTTCTTTGTTGTTTTATTTTTAACTAAACTGGTAATAGCCAGAATTTTACCAGCTAGTCATTCTTATCTATTAGCGTTTTTTGACTTGTTAGAATAACTTAGTCGTTGTTACCAACACGAAAGTTTAGGATATAAAATGTAAGTGTCGGGTTATTTTTTTATTTATTTCTAACTCAGCTTTAGAGTGAACATGTTTCTGGGATCAGTTGGGATCAATGGCTACACTAAAGGGAACTTTTGGGGTCAATGGCTACACTTAGGGGATCTTTTGCGGTCAATGGCAACACTTAGGGGAACTTTTGGGGTCAATGGCTACACTTAGGGGATCTTTTGGGATCAATGGCAACACTTAGGGGAACTTTTGGGGTCAATGGCTACACTTAGGGGATCTTTTGGGATCAATGGCAACACTAAGGGGATCTTTTGAGATCAATGGCTACACTAAGGGGATCTTTTGGGAGCAATGGCTACACTAAGGGGATCTTTTGAGAGCAATGGCTACACTAAGGGGATCTTTTGGGAGCAATGGCTACACTAAGGGGATCTTTTGAGATCAATGGCAACACTTAGGGGAATCTTTTGGGGTCAATGGCTACACTAAGGGGATCTTTTGAGAGCAATGGCAACACTTAGGGGAATCTTTTGGGGTCAATGGCAACACTAAGGGGATCTGTTGGGATCTATGGCAAGACTAAATCGATCCGTTAATGAAGTGTGCAGCGAAGTGCTTAGTTGCTATCGTATTCTTTTAGCTGTAGTGTTTGTTGTTTTCAAAACAGAAGCTTCAAAACACAATCTTACACATCAAGGACTTTTTTCTTTAAATCTCCACTCTCAGTGGGCAAGTATTTCATAATGTCAAACAAAGAATATGATATGAGCTGTGTTGGCTATATTTCAAGTATTTTTAATACTGTAAAAAGAACACGAAGCAATTGGGCTATTAGACAATAATATGTTCTCTTTCTCTCGACCACACCAGACCTAGTATCATGTTGAAGGAGAAGTATAAAAAATTATGACATTAAATTTATAAAAAATAACTATTAAAAATAGACAAAAACCAATACATATAAATCCTGTTGCTTATTCCTGACACTGTTGATATATGACCAGCAATTATTGACGAACGAATAATACAACCGCACAAAAACACAAATGACACACAAACAACATAACGGTTACATGAAAAAGGCAACCTACACACGGGCAACACAATTACAATACAAACAACACAACGTAAATACGAACAAGATTACTAATATACAAGCAATACAACCCAAATACAAACAACACAAGACTACAAACATACAAACACACAGACAACGCAAGTGCGTCACGGACTACAGAATAAAAATAAGAACACGACCACTAACAATCGAACAACACAACTGACACACGAACAACACAAGTGACACATGCCTAATACAAGCGTAAGGCATTGAATAATGTTTCATAAAGGGCGATCACGTCAGATATCAATAAATCAATACGTATCAATAAAACCACGTATATTTTCTGCGAAAATGCTTATCAAACTGCGTGTGACAATAAAGAAAAAAAACGTGAACTACAGGTAGCGTTTTAAAGTTAAAACAACTGTATTTTAATATGGATTATATATTTAAAACCCATGCTATCTTTCTCCAACTCTCTATCTTGATATATATATATATTATATATATATAATTTAAAAGGTTATAAGGTAATGTATTTTGTTTATAAATATAACCGACTCAGGCTACGATAGTTCTATTTCTGTAACAATACACACGTGGTTAAAAATCAATCTTATGTCATCGAAAAAACAAAGCTTTAGGGCCTTATGTTTAAAGCTGACTTCATTGGCAAACGTCCTAGTTAATCCCTCCCCTAGAAAAGTGCTACAAAATTTCCAGGAATAAGTATATATATATATATATATATATATATATATATATATATATATATATATATATATTTATATATGTATATATATATATATATATATATATATACATATATATACGTATATATATATATATATATATATATATATATATATATATATATATATATATATATATATATATATACAGTGGCGTCGCTAAGTCTGTTGTCACCCGCTGTGGCACCTCAAGTTGTCTTGAGTTTGCGTGTTTACCTTATGATGTCACCCCTTCTCCCATATCGGGATCGTCATAATGTAATCAAAATATATTTAACTCTTATTGACATTTGTTGAACTGTTAAAAAAAAACATATTTATTCTATATATATATATATATATATTGAAATCTATATATACATTATATAATATATATATATATATATATATATATATATATATATATATGTATATATATATATATATATATATATATATATATATATATATATATATATATATATACCAATACAAAGCTAGATACGGACACATGGATTGAATGAAGAAATATAAAGTAGATCTGGGTGCATTTAAAAAGTTTTTGTAAATTCATGAGACAAGTTCTGAAACATGACTGGACACTGATTTATTAAAATAACTGACTAGCGTAGTGAAATGTTTTGTAAAAAAATATTTAACATCGACAACTCAGTAATAACTATTGTGTTATTAGGTTTGGAAGAGTTAAATTCCCTGAAAAAGTTTAATTTATTAAACCATTCCTCTTTAATGAAAATCACCTTAATGACGTAAATAGATAGTAATGTTTCAATTTGAAGTATAAATATAATGATTAATTGAGGTTCAGTTAATTTTTAAATAATATAATTCAGGAAAAGAATATTAATTATTTCCACCCTAACATGATAGTAATTAAATTATGTTTAGTATTATTTTTTACGCACCTGAATATCTTTTAAACAAAAGTATAAAAAAAAATAACTTCACGTTTCCTCTTACATAAAAAAAATATGCTTATTTCATTTGTTAATTTTTTATTTCACTTTACAGTATTATTTCACTTTACAGTATTAGCTTTTGTAAATAATAATTTTTATGTTGTAATTTTAAACTAAAAAGATAAGCAAAGCTAAATCTATTTTAGTCCTTATCTTTTCCTTTCCGTTTTTGCTTTTTAAAACTATTTTAATTCACACACTAGTTAAATCAAATGTACGTTCCATCTTGAGAGTGTACGCTCGTCTGTCCTTTGTTTAACATGGCAGTGTATGCTCACACCAATCTATCTGTTCTCCTGACGGTAGCTGTAGCTGTGAGCACAGCCGTGGAGTGTACGCCCGGCTACTGATCCAGTGTCAGCTGTTTCCCGATGCAGCAGTACGACTGCTCTGGCGTCTTCGTTCCGCTCGGCTCTGCATGTGGCTGCTGCAACCGATGTTTTGGTGCCATACGTAAGATATTTTCATTCTTTTCATCCTTTTGTGTTTCTAGAATCTACAGACTTTTGATATTTTTACTTTCTACCTTTCTTTTTTTTGGATCGCTATTTGCATACTTTTCCTAAACTTGAGTAAAACAATATATATATATATATATATATATATATATATATATATATATATATATATATATATATATATATATATATATATATATATATATATATATATATATATATATATATATTTATATATATATATATGTTATATATGTATTTCAAAAATTATATGGAAGTAAGTAAGTAAGTAAAGTTCCCTTTCAAACCTGACGGTCTACGTGGCAAGTGAAGTAGAGTACACTTGTTTCTGTGACCTGCGACTTTACTTTCCCTAACGTGAGTTAGTTACCCATTCGAGTTGGGTGGACTTGAGATGGTCTACTGACTTTTAACCGGATTCGAACTCGAGACTAACGGGTTAGCAGTCCAGCTCTCTACCGCTAGACCACTCCGTCCAACATTATATCGACAGTAAAATAAATTAGTACACACAGATATGTAATCGATTGATTCCAGCTCCCGGCGGACCTTGTGAACCCCATTAGGATATGTATACGTTTGACCACACGTCCCCGCCTGATTCCCTGTGTCAGCTTGCATACTACTGTGCCGCGGACAACACATGTCAACTGCTGCTACCACTAGGTTAGCCGTACATTACATGCCAACATCAGATAATGATGTATATTACAGGCTAACAACAGATTTTGATGTACATTACGTGTTATGTTTTATGTAATAAAACAATGTTTATTATTAAAACGGATATCTTTGTTCTTATCTTTTTTTTAGCGTAAGTTCGCCAAGAAACTAAAATTGCATTCCCACACAACCCCGCAGTTACCAGACGTAATCTCCGAAGAATGAAGAGCTAAACGATACTTGCACATAGCTACTCTCGCCATCTAAAATATACCGTCTTACAAGTAAAATGAGCTAGCATTTCTTCCCTTTATTTCATGGTAACAAATACTTGTTCGATCCTTGCCATCCCATCTATTTCTCTATATAAAAATTGAATTCACGTTGATTATCATCATCTTTTCCAGTTTAAGTCAAAACACACGAAGCAGATGAGGTAGAGTTAATCAGTTTCAATGTCGAACAGGGGATAATGTTGTAAGTACCATGCCCAGCGGTATATGTTTCCCAAACATGAGCCAGGTACCCATCAGAGCTGAGCGGGCTCCGGGACTTCTTCGTGACTTGTGCACGTGATCTTATCTCGAGACTTCCGGTCTAACATTCTAAAGCAGGGGTCTCAAAACTACGGCTCGCGGGCCGGATGCGATGTCCTCTCATCCGGCCCGCAGGGATCTTTTTGTCCACGGAAAAACCGTTTGTTGGTGATGGCTGAGGAACTTTGCCCAGAAAAATCAAAGACATGCCTAGAAAAAACTGGCCCCCGAACTAAAATTTGATAGTCAACGCGGCCATCGGACTGAAAAGTTTGGAGACCCCTGGTCTAAAGTATCACTAACGTTATCTGACGGTAAACAGAAGTGGTGTAGAAGAGTTCGCCTGTTTCTGTGACCACGGCATACGAAAATTCGTCCATTCTATGCCTACCCAAGGATAGTCTGGGTAGCGGTTTCATGATGACCCCACCTCCCAGTGCCCCTTTATGTACTTTACGATGTACGCCCCTGTCTACAATGACGTCACCTGTCCCACCAAAGCCCGCCATGAAGACATAGAATTTTAAGAACACAAACATCGTATATGCCTAGAAAAGGAAAGCACTATGTCGATTTTATAAACAACTTGAGCTTTTCTTTTAAGTTTTATAAATAGTGCAGCATTTTCATTAAACGAAAAACATTTTATATTATTCCTAATTTTGGTACAAATAAAACCTGTCAATATTGTTTTAAATATTTTTATTTTAAAATGTAAATCGTTTTATGAAGTAAATAAACCGGTAGTGATCTCCCCTAAACTTTCTCGAATATTCTTATATAAAACAACAGGGGATGGTAACTGGGGATATAGTTATGATTTTTAATCCATTTTAAATACTTAAACTTTTAAAAATAGAATAGAATCTCATAAATAAAACATTGCGCACCAAGCAAACGCCGAATAAAAACGCGTATAATAGTGCGCAATATTATTAGTACTTTAAAAATTTACATTAGTTTTTTGAGAAATCGGAAGTAGCGTAAATTACTACTTCCAGTCAACGGAAATTACTCAAAATTTAACAGAAGGTAGAGAATTAGATCTTTTACTTACATGTGAAATTTCATTTATCTATCTGAAATAGTACTCAAGTTATAGGCTTTTGAAAAATTCAAAGTAGGAAAAGTACCACTTCCGGTTATCGGAAATCGCTCAAAAGTTGATACGGATCTACGATTTTGATAAAATACTTATATATGAAATTTCATCAACCTAGCTGTAACGGTACTCAAGTTATCGTGTTTACACACGGACAGACAGACAGACAGACAGACACACACACACAGACATACGGACAAGATTGCAAAATTATGTTTTTCCGTATCAGTGAGGTGTAAAACGTCGAGATTTGTAAAAATCTCGATTTTTTTTTTGCACGATTACAATACTTTCTCTATACTACGTATATACGAGAAAGTAAAAAAATACATTAAATTTATAAATAATCTCAAAGACAAAGAGCTCGCTTTTTAGTGACGCATTAGATGGGAAATACAAAATGTAAACAATTCAAAATAAACATGGCCGCTGACTGAGTTATAGACGATTAAACCATAACATTTCTTAGAAAATTAATTAGTCTAATTTAAATTGTGAAAAATATATGTACAGTTATATATAACTATATATATGGCTTAGAGATGTATGTTATTACACAATAAACCATAACGGTAAGATTTTACGTACAAGACACATGTATGTGGGAGGTGTGTAGTGGGATGTGAGGGGTGTAAATTATGTAGCACACAGTGGGAACACGTGCCATGCACAGAAAAGATACAGTGCACATACAAGGCACACACAAGGCACACACATAGTCCACACAGTGCATATAGATTATATAAGGCACATACAGTGCCACATGAAGGGTATATACAGGGCACGAACAAGGCATACACATAGTCGGCACAGTGCTCATAGAGGGCATATACAGGGCACATACATGAACATACACTGGGCATACACAGGGCATATATAGGGCACATACATGGGCATACACTGGGCATAAACAGGGCACATACAGGGCATACACAGGCATACACAGAAATAATAAGTGACAATCAAATTTCTGGTGCTAGATTTCCACTTAAGACTTACTAACTAGAAAACATATTTGGCTAAATGTGCATAATACTTGATTATATGTAAGATCTGTTTATTATAGCTTAGAAAATCGCTGTTAATTACAGAGGCATGTTTTAATTCAATTTTTTAGGCTGAATGTTTGAATGTAATTTTCCTTTGCAAAGTAAGAAAGTAAAGAGTCATCATTAGACCTTCATATCCATTGGTTAGATCAAATAGAGTGCACTTTTTTATGTAGGCATATGGTGTCGTCAACACCACGTCCATCCGCCGATATTTTCATCAACGTAAATAAGGTACCAATCAGGGTGAACTCAAGAGCGTAATACTATTACAGTCTGAGCCAAGATTTGAACTCGAAACCTTTAGGATAACAAGACAACACTCTACCGTACACTATTCCTTTGGCTAAAGTTTTATAATAGAAATTAAGTTTTATTAAGAAACTTGAATTCCCATGAACACCCAGACCCACCCCACCCCCTCCCGAGAAACCACAACCTCACCCTTTCCTGCTTGTTAAATAACGGGTGCATGATTCTGACTGTCTCCAACAATGTAACTAATAAAGTTTTCTTACAAATAGATACGCATGTGTATTATATGACATGCATTTCTCACGATAAAGCGATGTACGATTTCAGACTCAAATGTTCTTAAATCGACAACTGCAAATGATCTCTGATTTAGTCAAGATTACAATTTTTCTAGTGGTTTCTGTAGATGTTTCCAGACAATGTAAGTTAAATACAATAATATTCTTTATTACGTTTTCTAATTAAGTTTTTTTTTTTAAGTTTTTATAACCAGTTTTTTAAACTCAATTTCTAGATAAACAAATTACTGATTTTTATATTCAATGCTTATCTATATAATGTTTATCGTTTCTATCACAAATAAGTTAACTCTATGTACTCAATTTTAAAACTAACATGTGTTTCCAAGGTAATATACACATTATAAGGTTTACATTTTTTGTATGGACTTGATACAATCAAATCAAATTTAACACCACCAACACTCTCTAATTTTGTTAGTATCTTGTTCTTCTGCTCCCGACCTATAACCAAGGTGACCCCAGGGGTCGCCACCTGTGTCCTTCACTCCGATCTGTCCTCCGTCTCTGCCATTATCAAAAATTGTCATTTCTTGATAGAGTAGCCACGTTATGTGATAATAGTTCTTGTTACGTCCCTTGTGTTATATATATATATATATATATATATATATATATATATATATATATATATATATATTTAGATATATATATATATATATAATTATATATATATATATATATATATATATATATATATATATATATATATATATATATATATATATATATATCGTGGTTAAGTCCCCTGAATGTTTAGTCTCTGTGTAGTGTATAGGGCTGGTAAGTAGGTCAATAAACAGTTTTATTGAGCCCTAGAACTGGTTGGTGACCTACTTACCAGCCTTATAGCCGTGTTGTTTATCTCAGTGAGTTTTGTATGAATAGGGTCTTGACGGAAGACGTGTTGTCGGAGCTGTACTGTGTATGAATGTAAAGTGTGGAAGCTAACTTAATGACGTCTATTGTAATCCTCCATGTGCTGCACAATATGAAACGTATCTGAATTGACGTCTTGTTTTCGGTTGTACTCATTGTTAGAAAGTTTTTGCTAGATGTGAGAACTTTTTAGGACAGCGTTATCAATTTAACATTCGAGCGTTCGTCGGCTAGCACTGAAGTATCGAGTTCAAGACCCTGGCTAGAGTCAACTCTGTCGTGCACCTGACTTAACGTTAGGGTGGGTAAAAGGCGCCTGGGCATAGTGCTGACCACACTGCGCCTGCATAGGCTGATGTCACACACACACACAAGTTAACTCTTCTTCACCTACACTGTGGGCCGCCTAGGTCAGTGACGTCCATGTTATATGCCGATAACATTTTCTTTCATTATACTCTGGAACTAGCCGATTCAAGGAACCCATAGACTTGTCTGTTAAACCTCTATATCTCGCGATCGCAACCTAGTGAAGCAAACTTAAAAGTGTAGCCTACATGTGTCTCCCCACACACGATAAGTGTAGCCTACATGTGTCTCCCCACACACGATAAGTGTAGCCTACATGTGTCTCCCCACACACGATAAGTGTAGCCTACATGTGTCTCCCCACACACGATAAGTGTAGCCTACATGTGTCTCCCCACACACGATATGTGTAGCTTACATGTGTCTCCCCATACACGATGAGTGTAGCCTACATGTGTCACCCCACAGGGTGTGTCCCCGGCAGGTTTGGCTCACGATGTCAATACATGTGTCACTGCAAAGACAACAAGAACTGCGGCCACACTGGGACCTGCAGTGATGGCTGTGAGGACGGCTACTTTGGCTACAAGTGCCAGTATGGTAAAGTACATTCAAACAAAATAGATTACAAAAAATTGGTACTTTAATAGACTATACAGGTTAGGAATGTATTTTTTAAATGAAGGCAATGGTAAAAATTGAAAATATTTTGACTGAAAGTAAACAATCCTCAGATATTTGCAAACAAGCGCATTTGATCAAAAGTAACCAATAATTAGTAATTATTTAAAATAATCTGTTAAAAATAAACTTATGTTAAAAAATCCATGAAAAAAAAACTGTAAACATTTACTATTAATGATAACGTTTCATGCTTTACATACATCCTTAAGTTTAAAGGACAATATCCATGCGACTAATTTTGAGCCTGGATATTCCAGTGGATATGTTTTACTCTCTTGCACCGAGGACATACAAGACTAGCGACGAATGTAACTTTGAACATTTGAAAAACATAACTTTAGACAGCAACTATTTTAGGTACGCCCGAATTGTCTTTAAAGGTAATTCACGACATTTTTATAGTTGTACATTGTATCAAGGTGTATTGTGTTTTTTCTATCATTTTTTACTTTCTCGTATATACGAAGTATAGAGAAAGTCTTGTAATCGTGCAAAAAAAAAATCGAGATTTTTACAAATCTCGACGTTTTACACCTCACTGATACGGAAAAACATAATTTTGCAATCTTGTCCGTATGTCTGTGTGTCTGTGTGTCTGTGTGTCTGTGTGTCTGTGTGTCTGTCTGTGTGTCTGTCTGTCTGTCTGTCTGTCTGTCTGTCTGTCTGTCTGTCTGTCTGTCTGTCTGTCTGTCTGTCTGTCTGTCTGTCTGTCTGTCTGTCTGTCTGTCTGTCTGTCTGTCTGTCTGTCTGTCTGTCTGTCTGTCTGTCTGTCTGTCTGTCTGTCTGTCTGTCTGTCTGTCTGTCTGTCTGTCTGTCTGTCTGTCTGTCTGTCTGTCTGTCTGTCTGTCTGTCTGTCTGTCTGTCTGTCTGTCTGTCTGTCTGTCTGTGTGTAAACACTATAACTTGAGTACCGTTACAGCTAGGTCGATGAAATTTCATATATAAGTATTTTATCAAAATCGTAGATCCGTATCAACTTTTGATCGATTTCCGATAATCGGAAGCGGTACTTTTTCTACTTTGAATTTTTCAAAAGCCTATAACTTGAGTACTATTTCAGATAGATAAAGGAAATTTGATATGCAAGTAAAAGATCTAATTCTCTACCCTCTATCAAATTTTGAGTAGTTTTCGTTGACCGGAAGTACTTATTTACGCTATTTCCGATTTCTCAAAAAACGCATGTAACTTTATAAAATACTAATAATGTTGCGCACTATTATGCACATCTTTATTTAGCGTTCACTTGGTGTGCAATTCTTTTTTCTAGGAGATTATATTCTATTTTAAAAAACTTTAAGTATTTAAAATGGATTTAAAATGATATCTAGAAGTCTATATCCCGAGTTGCCTTCCCCAGTAGTGTTATATTAGAATATTCGAGAAAGTTTAGGGGAGATCACTCCCGGTTTATTAATTTTTATAGTTGTACATTTTGTCAAGGTGTATCGTTTTTTTAATAATTTTTTATTTTTATAGTTGTACATTTTGTCAAGGTGTATCGTTTTTTTAATAATTTTTTATTTTTATAGTTGTACATTTTGTCAAGGTGTATCGTTTTTTTAATAATTTTTTATTTTTATAGTTGTACATTTTGTCAAGGTGTATCGTTTTTTAAATATTTTTTTATTTTTATAGTTGTACATTTTGTCAAGGTGTATCGTTTTTTTTAATAATTTTTTATTTTTATAGTTGTACATTTTGTCAAGGTGTATCGTTTTTTTAATAATTTTTTATTTTTATAGTTGTACATTTTGTCAAGGTGTATCGTTTTTTTAATAACTTTTTATTTTTATAGTTGTACATTTTGTCAAGGTGTATCGTTTTTTTAATAATTTTTTATTTTTATAGTTGTACATTTTGTCAAGGTGTATCGTTTTTTTAATAATTTTTTATTTTTATAGTTGTACATTTTGTCAAGGTGTATCGTTTTTTTAATAATTTTTTTATTTTTATAGTTGTACATTTTGTCAAGGTGTATCGTTTTTTTAATAACTTTTTATTTTTATAGTTGTACATTTTGTCAAGGTGTATCGTTTTTTTAATAATTTTTTATTTTTATAGTTGTACATTTTGTCAAGGTGTATCGTTTTTTTAATAATTTTTTTATTTTTATAGTTGTACATTTTGTCAAGGTGTATCGTTTTTTTAATAATTTTTTATTTTTATAGTTGTACATTTTGTCAAGGTGTATCGTTTTTTTAATAATTTTTTATTTTTATAGTTGTACATTTTGTCAAGGTGTATCGTTTTTTTAATATTTTTTTATTTTTATAGTTGTACATTTTGTCAAGGTGTATCGTTTTTTTAATAATTTTTTATTTTTATAGTTGTACATTTTGTCAAGGTGTATCGTTTTTTTAATAATTTTTTATTTTTATAGTTGTACATTTTGTCAAGGTGTATCGTTTTTTTAATAACTTTTTATTTTTATAGTTGTACATTTTGTCAAGGTGTATCGTTTTTTTAATAATTTTTTATTTTTATAGTTGTACATTTTGTCAAGGTGTATCGTTTTTTTAATAATTTTTTATTTTTATAGTTGTACATTTTGTCAAGGTGTATCGTTTTTTTTAATAATTTTTTATTTTTATAGTTGTACATTTTGTCAAGGTGTATCGTTTTTTTAATAATATTTTATTAAAAACATTATTTTGTAAAAAACACATCATGGGGTAATGTAAGTGATTTGACAAAGATGCATTAAGTTTCCGTTCACAATTTTGTTAACACATTTGAACGACGTTTTATTTTATAAGTAAATAGAAAGGCTAACATGAAACCATCTGTAAAAAAAAAAAAAAAAGAAATAAACGCCTTATCCACGAATAGCAATTGTTTGGCAATAAATTGAATATTTTCAAGAAACAGGTACAAACGCTGAATTTATTTATGTCCTGATTATAGAGATTGAACATGTATGCTTTGGTTAGTTTCGTGATGTTTAGAGTTTTATTTCCAGAAAGAAATCATCAACATGAGCAAGTTAAAGAAAATAAATACTGCATGGGTTATGTCTTCATTCCCCAGGCGATATTCCCCAATTTTATACCCTCAACTTCATAATGGAAGGAGATACAGATACTCATTGCGACAACTTCTACCAATCTAAGATCGACGCGAGAACTATCGAGATCATCTGCGATCAGTTCATCGATATATTCATGAGGTCACTGTCTCTTGTAACGGATGGTGATGGCGTGTGTAGGGTCTCCATCAGTCGAGGTCAGTTCATGGTTATTTATAGAACTAATCAGATAGCTCTTGGACACTATGGACTGTCGAGATAATAAAGTGATGAAGGCTGATTAAAATCTTTATTTTTAATAGATGGGCTATTCTTAAATAAAACATAAATATAATATAAAGAGCCAGCAAATTCACAACATAATATGTTAATCAGCTTCGGCTCTAAAAATCGTTCTTCCTATGTCGCCATGGGATATTAAAGGCTATATTTAAACACATTTCACATTTTAGCTCGAAGTGTAAGAAAATAATTGGAAAGCACATAAAATATGATCATCGCTGCTAAATCATAAATAAAGAGAAACTAGAATAAAACATATATAACAAGCAAAATTGTGAAAAAAAATGCACTAAAATTTAAAAACATGTAGAATCTACTTTTTAACTAAAAGCATTGTTCGCTTCAACAAGTAAGAGATCGAACAAGCAACAAACGCTTTTATGAAAGAAGGCGTTTCATTTTATTTTAATGTTCAGGTTTCTGAGTTTCTCAAACTTCTTTTTTTTCCTACTCTTTAGTAATGTGTCCTTAATGACACTCACACCACTCACGACTAAAAATAGTTGCTTAAAAACCCGATCAGTAACTTGCGATCTCTAGAAGAAAGTTAGCTGCCCATTTGTAACGATTGAGGAAACAATTGACCAGTGTTTCTTCCAGACTTTTTTTCCCGGGGGGGGGGGGGGCACTTGAAATTTTCGGGGGGGGGGGGGTGGACTAAAATTTCCGGGGGGCTGTTAAAAGTTGTATTTTCTATATAAATTCCATTTCGTTCGGGGGGGGGGGGACGGCCGCTAAACTTTCTGGAAGAAACTCTGCAACTGACCACAGCAAGCAGTTCACTATTGTAATCAGTCTGATTAATTAATCGCTTGAGATTAATTTTGTTCTTGTCTCCCTTTAGATAATACAGCATAGTAATCGTTACATTAATTTTTTATCACAAATTAAATTAAAAATTACCTATGTAAACATTGAGTTACAATATTTGCTAGAAACCGGCAAAACAAACAGACATAGTGAACTAGATGAAAGCTTATAATAAATGTACATTAAATTGTGCCATGATATTCGGCTGTATGTGGCCTAGGGCGGAACCTGGCCCTCAAGCAGCAGACGATGGACCCCAGCACCGTGGACGGGAACAGATACAGCACTTCCGCATGTTTTTACTCGCAGAACTGGATGATTAAGTTTGATATCCCTTCCACGATTCACAATTTTATCATCTACAGTAAACAAGGTAAGCAACAGAGAGTAAAGTTTGATGACATCCATAGTAAACAAGGTAAGAAACAGAGAGTAAAGTTTGATGACATCTACAGTAAACAAGGTAAAAAACAGAGAGTAAAGTTTGATGACATCTACAGTAAACAAGGTAAGAAACAGAGAGTAAAGTTTGATGACATCTACAGTAAACAAGGTAAGAAACATTAAGTTTGATAACATCAACATTAAACAAGGTAAGAAACAGAGAGTAAAGTTTTATGACATCTACAGTAAACAAGGAAAAAAAAAGAGAGTAAAGATTGATGACGTCTACAGAAAACAAGGTAAAAAGAGTAAAGTTTGATGACATCTACAGTAAACAAGGTAAGAAACAGAGAGTAAAGTTTGATGACATCTACAGTAAACAAGGTAAGAAACAGAGAGTAAAGTTTGATGACATCTACAGTAAACAAGGTAAGAAACAGAGAGTAAAGTTTGATGACATCTACAGTAAACAAGGTAAGAAACAGAGAGTAAAGTTTGATGACATCTACAGTAAACAAGGTAAAAAAAGAGTAAAGATTGATGACGTCTACAGAAAACAAGGTAAAAAAGAGTAAAGTTTGATGACATCTACAGTAAACAAGGTAAGAAACAGAGAGTAAAGTTGGATATCACAAGTTACAAACGGCTAGAAATAGAACGTTCGTTACTTACTAATTATAAAACAATAAGCAATAAAAAGTTATATTTGATAATTATTGTATTTAGCTATACGATAAATGGCCCCGTCGCAAACGCGTCAGAGCGCTAGGCTGCTAACGCGAAGGTCTCGAGTTCGAATCCGGTGCCAATTTAGTACATAGTCCTGAGTCTACCCAGCTCTGATGAGTACCTAACTCATGTTGGGGAAAGTACGGGCGGCTGGGCATATTACTGACCACACCTTCCCTTCATATGCCGAAGTCCAGAAACATATGAACTCAACTTCATCTGCCCAATGGATCGTTCGGTCTACAGAGGAATCTTTACTTTAACTTTACTTTAAATGTAATTTTAGTTGCAATAGACGTTTCCTCTGTTAATAACGACCCACCACTGCTTTAAAAAAATCAATCCTTTCTATAAGATACAATAAAACGACTATGGAATCCAATTCAAGCTTTTATATTTGTTTATATTTTAGCCTTAACCCCAGTCTTAACTGCTTCATAACCCATACCTGATTTCTACACTCAACCAGTAACCTAACCTAACCGCTGTGTTTGTAGACTAACCAAGATGTTTTAACTTCTGCTACTTAAGTAATACATACACATATCAGTATAAAATGTAAGGTCATTAAACTCTATTGCCATGCATTTCTAGCGTTTTCTGTACTCTGTTCTACTCCGCGCGCAGAAATCTACGTGCATGAAATGTTGACGTTTATATCGACCTATACGTATAGAACTGGAGATGCGTTCGAAACCTTTCGCGTCAATTTCACTGCGCCTTATGGTAAGACGTACTCGTCCCCGACCCCCGTGAGGTTCCCGTGGCCGGTGTCGGAGATTGAGATACGTGTGGTGAACACTGGCAAGAAGATCTACTTCTGTGAGGTGGAGGTGTTTGGAGGCGAGTAGCGAGTGGTGTGTAGGGTGTGTTTCGTGTGTGTATGTAGTGGTGTTTGTTATCTGATGATTATGAAAACTGCGTTGTTGTTTTTGTGTGATTCGTGTTTAAATTGTGGAATTTATTGTGTTATAAGATTGTAAACTCTATTCTTTTTTGTGTGAAAAGTGTTTAAATTGTGGTGTATCGTCTTTGGTACGTGTTTAACTATCTGTCTATTTCTTGTGTGGCAATTCATTAAAATTTCATCTTACATTGCTTACAACTGCTATATTTCAAATATTAATTACGATATCAATGAATATCTCATTTTGAGGGAGAAATTCTTCTCAAATCTAAAAAAAGCTTATATATGTATTAGAGTTACTACTAAATCATACAATCTTCAAACAATTATATGCTAAAGATCAACACTTATCCAAAAAAAAAGATCGTATTATAATATGTATTCTAAAAACTATTAGTCTTTACATGACTCCCCCAACAGAGATCCACTGTGGGGACCACAGGTATGGGCTAGAGTGTGAGACAAGCTGCCAGTGTCTGCACCAGGTGTCTGACTGCCAGAAACAGAACGCCTGTCTCTTCAACTGCTCCGGCATGGGACTTAACACATGCAGGTTCAGTAAGTTGCAGGTTCAGTAAGTTGCAGGTTTAGTAAGTTTCAGGTTCAGTAAGTTGCAGGTTCAGTAAGTTGCAGGTTCAGTAAGTTGCAGGTTCAGCAAGTTGCAGGTTCAGTAAGTTGCAGGTTCAGCAAGTTGCAGGTTCAGCAAGTTGCAGGTTCAGTAAGTTGCAGGTTTAGTAAGTTTCAGGTTCAGTAAGTTGCAGGTTCAGTAAGTTGCAGGTTCAGTAAGTTGCAGGTTCAGTAAGTTGCAGGTTCAGTAAGTTGCAGGTTCAGTAAGTTGCAGGTTCAGTAAGTTGCAGGTTTAGTAAGTTTCAGGTTCAGTAAGTTGCAGGTTCAGTAAGTTGCAGGTTCAGTAAGTTGCAGGTTCAGCAAGTTGCAGGTTCAGTAAGTTGCAGGTTCAGCAAGTTGCAGGTTCAGCAAGTTGCAGGTTCAGTAAGTTGCAGGTTTAGTAAGTTTCAGGTTCAGTAAGTTGCAGGTTCAGTAAGTTGCAGGTTCAGTAAGTTGCAGGTTCAGTAAGTTGCAGGTTCAGTAAGTTGCAGGTTCAGTAAGTTGCAGGTTCAGTAAGTTGCAGGTTCAGTAAGTTGCAGGTTCAGTAAGTTGCAGGTTCAGTAAGTTGCAGGTTCAGTAAGTTGCAGGTTCAGTAAGTTGCAGGTTCAGTAAGTTGCAGGTTCAGTAAGTTGCAGGTTCAGTAAGTTGCAGGTTCGGTAAGTTGCAGGTTCAGTAAGTTGCAGGTTCAGTAAGTTGCAGGTTCAGTAAGTTGCAGGTTCAGTACGTTGTTGGCTTAGTATACAACATACGTTACGTATTTTATTTCGCTATTTGGTAGAACTGTTGAATGTTCATGCAGTATCATTTGCATTTATTATGATGTTTGTATATATATATAAATAAAAATATAAATATATATATATACATATATATATATATATATATATATATATATATATATATATATATATATATATATATATATATATATATATATATATATATATATATATATATTAGCTTTCTAAGAAAAAAGTCTCAGGAATTTCAATAAGTATATTAATGTTTTTCTTAAAAGTATAACACCAATTTATTGATTAAATTATTATTGAAATACATTTTAATGTACAAAAATGCGATCAAAAAAGCTAATTAAAAATGTTTGTGGTGAGGTTGTTTTAACACCTTTAAGCCACCAAATCGATCTTTGTTTAGATACATATTTGCCTGTGTTAGCCCACATAAGTAAAATACAATGTTGCCGTAACTCACTACAAAAGTAAAATGTATCTTAGTGTTATTCCACCCGTCCTTGAGACATTCTATAGCCTTTGCTACACTATCATGCATGGTCTTCTCATTATATTCCAGTCTGTACCACGCCGTATTTTGAACGGGGTTGCGCGGTCAAGTGCTATCGTAACTGTGACAAGGAGGCGTGTCACCAGACACTCAATGGGACCAGCCCATGTGAGTCCTGCCACACCCAAGTTCAGGAGAAATGCGGAGGTAAGTGGATGTAGTCTTGGTGGTTTTGGTATGAATGGATAACATAGTAAAACAAGTGGGTTTCACAAAAGGGGAAGCTTCATGTCATTTGGTGAGCTACCAGATCACAACTGATTTGAACTCACGATTTATAAATAAATAGACGATAGGATAGTTGCAGCGTGGAAAGTAGGTCCAGAGCATTGGCAGCAAGACGGGAAGAGACTGATGTGTAGAGTGTATCAGGACCTTTCTCCACACTGCCGATGGGCCAGACGGTACCTATACAACTTGAAATCAGTTGTTTCTCATAAGCTGCCCACAGGAAACCAGAAACTCCAGCGTTTTAGGTGCTGTTAGATATACAAATTACATTACAACAGGGGATTTCGAACACTTCAGATAAAGTGTATACTGAAACATTTTTTTATTTTTTTACACTTCAAAAGAAATGTGTAGATAAAACACAATGTTTTGATTATAAACTTAAAGTGAATCCTTAAAACATATTGTTTTTCTTGATCCCTCAGATGAAGTGTATCCTTAAACCGTAATATTTTTTGACACCACAGATAAAGTTTATCCTTAAACCATATTGTTTTTACTTGAGGATTCAGATGAAGTTTATCTATAAACCATATTGTTTTTCTTGACACCTCCGATTAAGTGTAATCTTAAAACATATTTTTTGACACCCCAGATGAAGTGTACGCTCACGTTCCGTATGTTCCACAAACGATTGACCCCTATCTGCCCACAGATAATGCTACAGGTCAGGACCCAGGTTCAGCCGGTGAAGGTAAGCATCTTGGAGAGATTTGTAAAAAAAAAATGGTAAAGAATCAACTTTAGACCTGGAGATCCATTGGACAGAGTTCATATGTTTCTGTGACCTCGGCATATGAAGAGAAGTTGTGGTCAGCACGTCTTTACTTGCCCTAACGTGAGTCAGGTACCCAACTTTGTGGTCAGCACTATGCCCAGCCGCCTTTACTTGCCCTAACGTGAGTTAGGTACCCAACTTTGTGGTCAGCACTATGCCCAGCCGCCTTTACTTGCCCTAACGTGAGTCAGGTACCCAACTTTGTGGTCAGCACTATGCCCAGCCGTCTTTACTTGCCCTAACCTGAGTTAGGTACCCAACAGTTCTGGTTGGACAAAGGGACGTTCTACTGATTTGGACCCGGATTCGAACTCCAGACTTTCGGGTTTGCAACCTACCGGTACTATTTAGGCCACGCCGTCCGATTATTAGAGATTTTAGCTCTATTTCGTTAGAAAATATAGCTCCGAATATAGTTTGCACACAGACATTTACTTGATTTAAAAACTATTTATTTTACTACCAATGGAAACAAATCATTTGTATTGATTGACAAGATTCTCGTACACACAAATGTTTGTTTTTCATTTTTACTTAGAAAAACAAATAAATATTTTCTGCGTTTGAATTATATTCTGAGTTATTTTTTCCAAACGAAAAAAATCTGATAAAGAAGCAAAACGATACAATTTTATAAACAGGGATGGACGAATAACGAACTGGTAAATTTTTTTAATAAATATATTGTTACTGGGAATTAGACATTTACGAAACCAAATAACTTTTTTATATTATTTATTAAATTCTCAATGCTTAAATCCTGTCTCTGTATTATGTGAAAATATGTTGTGACTGTTACTGACACTTTTGTGTACTCATTCAAGTTTTATATCATGTCTCTGTATTATGTGAATATATTTTGTGTACTAACTCAAGTTTTATACCCCGTCTCTGCATTATGTGAATATATTTTGTCACTGTTACTTACCATTTTTTGTACTCACTCAATTTTTATATCATGTCTCTGTATTATGTGAATATATTTTGTGTACTCACTCAAGTTTTATATCATGTCTCTGTATTATGTAAATATATATTTTGTACTCTCACTCAAGTTTTATACCCTGTCCCTGTATTAAGTGAAAATATTTTGCGACTGTAACTGACCGTTTTGTGTACTCACTTTACAGAGTGCGGCTCAGGGTTTTACGGCTCACACTGCATGTTCGTGTGCAGCAGTTGGTGCGACATGCAGAACTGTGAGAGGGAGAACGGGACTTGCTACCGCTGCACTATTGGACGCACGGGTGACTTCTGCGAGCAAAGTAGGTCAACGTTTCTTGGGATATTGACTATATTGGTTGTCTCTCTTTCGGACCTCGCGATGGCAGATGAAGTAGAGTTCAACAGTTTGTTTTAACTCGGCATAATTATGTAGAAATTGCATAAAGAATATTATGTTCATCCGTTTTTACTTGGCACTTTGTAGTTTTATACCCGTAAATACCTCTGCATAAATTTAAATATGTATGTATAATACATTGTGTATGTGTGTGCATTTGTTTTTACTTACACTTTTTATGTATGATACGAGAGCCCCCCACCCCCTCACCCACGCACACACACACACTACCACTGAGTTTCCAAAAGACTTTAAATCTAAGTCGCAGGATTCCATAAACATATGTCTTAACTGTAGTTCAGGAACTTAAACCTTTCTTTTAGACTGTAGTTCTGGAACTTAAACCTTTCTTTTAGACTGTAGTTCTGGAACTTAAACCTTTCTTTTAGACTGTAGTTCTGGAACTTAAACCTTTATTTTAGACTGTAGTTTAGGAACTTAAACCTTCCTATTAAACTGTAGTTCAGGAACTTAAACCTTTCTTTTAGAGTGTAGCTCTTTAACTTAAACCTTTCTTTAAGAATGTAGCTCTTTAACTTAAACATTTTTTAAGACTGTAGTTCTGGAACTTACGGCCAGAACTGCTCACTCACGTGCAGCGATAACTGTATCGAGCAAACGTGTAACAGCGTCACGGGCAAGTGTTTCCGTTGTCCCCCAAACCGGACTGGCGATTTTTGTGAGGAAGGTAAGGGACATAAGTTAAATAACAGGGCTCTTTCTTTTTGACATGGGAAACAATTTCTGTTCCCTTAGATGGGATATAACGCGTCAAAATTGATTGGTTTCTATAGCCTTTGTTCAACCAAGAAAAAAATCTATTAGGCAGCAGTTTATTTAATTTTTGGAGTTGTCTCTCCTAGATGGTTTGCTAAGATAGATATGATTAAAATTTAAAAACAAAATGTTTTTTGTTTTAAATATGTAAAGGTAAATCGATCAAGATTAATTTGCTACACTTTAGTGCTAAAGGCTTTTGGAAAGTTTTAACAATGAAACAATTTCAAAATGTATTCAAAACGTTTCTAAAACGGCTGTCGATTTTATTTTATTAATATTGTTTTTAGCAAAAGAAAATGGCTGTCTTTTTGTTGTTTTTGCTACCTTTAAAAACTTGCCATTTTTTTTTACTTTCTCGCATGTACGAAGTATAGAGAAAGACTTGTAATCGTGCCATCTTATGTTAAGTATTCAATGTTAGGCACCTATGTTTAAGTTTTGCAATCTTGTCCGTATGTCTGTGTGTTTGTGTGTGTGTGTGTGTGTATTAACACGATAACTTGGGTACCGTTATAGCTAGTTTGATGAAATTTCATATATAAGTATTATATCAAAATCGTATATTATATCAACTTTTGAGCGATTTCCGATAACCGGAAGTGGAACTTTTACTACTTTGAATTTTTCAAAAGCCTATAACTTGAGTACTATTTCTGATAGATAAATGAAATTTCACACGTAAGTTAAAAATCTAATTTTCTGCCTTCTATTAAATTTTGAGTAATTTTCGTTGAAAGGAAGTAGAAATTTACGCTATTTCCGATTTCTAAAAAAAACGCATGTACATGTATAAAGTACTAATAATATCCCGCACTATTATGCACATTTTATTTGGCGCTCTTCTTTTGTGTGCAATTCTTTTTTTTTTACGAGATTCTATTATATAATAAAAAGTTTAAGTAATTTAAAATGGATTAGAAATATTTTCTATGAGTTGCCATTCCTCGTAGTGTTATATTAAAATATTCGAGAAAGTTTACGGGAGATCACTCCCGGTTTATTTAACGTTGTCATAATTTAATTTTGCCAGAAGTCCAAGATAAAACAACCCTCGAGAGTCGTAACTGCAGATGGGAGTGTGGCAACAACCCATGTGATACAGTTACAGGGGCGTGTCTGGGTTGTCCCCCTGGAAAGGTTGGAGACTATTGTGAAAACGGCGAGTACAGGAACTTGTTTTGGTGGTGTTTTTTAGTCGCATAACGGTGCCTGTAGTTAGCGTCTTGGTTTCCATGGTGAAATATTCATATCGTCATTCAAACTTTGGAACTTTTTATTTATTTAGGTTAATTTGAAAAGAAATGTATATTAATTATTATTTTGTAAAATAAAAAATGTGTATAAACACTTATATTGAACTAGCTGCATACCCGTGCTCCGCCACGGTAAATCTTTTTTTAATGTAACAACTTGGGAACAGAACAAAACAAACAAAAAAAAAACACAAACACAAACAAAACATAACCACAACACAACCACATCAAAACAAAACTACAACACAACACAACCACAACACAACCACATATAACGTCAATTGTTCCTACATTTTTTATAATCGGTACTTTTTTAATCTTACAGAGTGTAGTATCGATACATATGGCGTGAACTGTTCCAACATTTGTGATAATCGACGCTTCTTAAAACTCTCACAGTTTAATATCGATACTTATGGCGTCAACTGTTCCAATATTTGTGATAATCGATGCTTCTTCAATCTCAAAGTTTAATATCGATACCTAGGGCGTCAACTGTTCCTACATCTATGATAATCGATGCTTCTTTATTCTTATAGAGTGTAGTATCGATACCTATGGCGTCAACTGTTCCTACATCTGTGATAATCGATGCCTCTTTATTCTTATAGAGTGTAGTATCGATAACTAGGGCTTAAACTGTTCCTTCATCTGTGATAATCGATGCTTCTTTATTCTTATAGAGTGTAGTATCGATACCTATGGCGTCAACTGTTCCTACGTCTGTGATAATCGATGCTTCTTCAATATGTCAAACAGTGACAGGGTGTGTAACTCCGTCACTGGCGACTGTGAGCTCCCTGCCGACCCGCTTCTGTCATCAAAGTTAACAGGTCAGAATATATATATATATATATATATATATATATACATATATATATATATATATATATATATATATATATATATATATATATATATATATATATATATATATATATATATATATATATATCTTCTTGGAACCATAGAAAACACCAAGCTGTAATCCCGCGCTGGGCATATCCCTATAACCCCCACCCCCAATTAGTCTGGTGAGCTGTGGTTCACGTTAAGTGTTTACAATCGTAGAGCCGGGTTTAGTGACAGCTATTAGGAGCAGAAAATTTAGTTTATAAGGATTTTAAACTTATGGGAGGTAACTAAGAGGGGGTTGCTTTCACTGCGGGAGGGGGGTGGGGTAGAGGGAAAGGAGGGGGGTATAGTTCTTAACGAGCTGCTGATATTGTTTTATAGCAAATATTTTCAGTGGCAGCATTTGTACTGTCGAATTCACAAATTATGAATGACTGAAAAGTAGAAAATAAAACAACTAAATAGCGGCGTATGATACGTCGCGGGTCGGCTCGTGTTGAATAATCAGATTACTGAAAATGTTGAATCATCAAATTACTAACTAATAATGTTGAATAATCAGATGACTAACTGAGATTGTTGAATCAAATTACTAATTGAGAATGTTGAATCCGTTTACAAGCTGAGAATGTTATATAGGATTACTAACTGAGAATGTTGATTAATCAAATTACTAACTGAGAATGTTGATTAATCAAATTACTAACTGAGAATGTTGATTAATCAAATTACTAACTGAGAATGTTGATTAATCAAATTACTAACTGAGAATGTTGATTAATCAAATTACTAATTGAGAATGTTGAATCCGTTTACAAGCTGAGAATGTTATATAGGATTACTAACTGAGAATGTTGATTAATCAAATTACTGAGAATGTTGATTAATCAAATTACTAACTGAGAATGTTGATTAATCAAATTACTAACTGAGAATGTTGATTAATCAAATTACTAACTGAGAATGTTGATTAATCAAATTACTAACTGAGAATGTTGATTAATCAAATTACTAACTGAGAATGTTGATTAATCAAATTACTAACTGAGAATGTTGATTAATCAAATTACTAACTGAGAATGTTGATTAATCAAATTACTAACTGAGAATGTTGATTAATCAAATTACTAACTGAGAATGTTGATTAATCAAATTACTAACTGAGAATGTTGATTAATCAAATTACTAACTGAGAATGTTGATTAATCAAATTACTAACTGAGAATGTTGATTAATCAAATTACTAACTGAGAATGTTGAATCAGATTACTAAATGAGGATATATATATATATATATATATATATATATATATATATATATATATATATATATATACATATATATATATATATACATATATATATATATATATATATATATATATATATATATATATATATATATATATATATATATATATATATATATATATATATATATATATACATATACATAAACTTTTTTTTCTGCCTAATTTACAGAAATAGTTGACCAAGACAAAGGCCTTCTTATCGTATTAATATTGTCAGGACTCGTCATCCTCGCCTTGATCATTATTTTTCTCTTTGTCTGCAAGTACGTTTTGAGTTAGTTTGTTATTTTGTATTGAACATCACAAGCTGTATTCGTTGGGTGCTGTTGTGGGGAGGGGGGGGTTGGATATAGGGGGGGGGGGTGGACGCGATACAGGTCGTCTATTAGTGATGTTGTACGCAGAAAATGGAATTTTTTAAATTTTTTTTTTTTGAGGACGGAGGTTAGTTGTTTAAAAAATTGTTACGGCAATTTTTACATTTTGAAAAGTGAAATTTTAGTTGTTATTTTGCTTTTTAAATCCCTTTTCTTTTTGCTGACTGTGATATAAATTCATAAAAATACACAATGTTGACTGCTGTTAAACAACAAATACTGTGACTTAGAAATGTAAAATTGGCAAGTTTGCATAAAACACTAATCGTTCATTGGTATTTAATAAAGGAGAGACAGTTGGGGGGGGGGGGGGGGGTTGTCATGTTGTCTTCGTGACTATATGTGACGATATTGAGTAGATAGTTAAAAAAAAAGGTTTATGGGAGACCCCTTACATGAAAGGTCAAAAAAAGACACAATACGAACAGAATTGCGGGTCTTTAGTTAGAGAATTAACTCCAATAAATATATTATGTTGAATCTTCTAACCACGGTATGGTGACTCTATAATGTAGAACAGCTGTACCAAAACTATTGGTCAAGACACACTTTCAGTGTAGCCGCCAACATATGAAGAACTTAGTTCTAGACTTGATAAAAACATGCTACTGAGTTTAAAAACTTAATTTTGTTATAAAAGATAAATAAATATATTCCTTAATTACTATGAATACGACTCTTAAATAATATTCAATTTTTGATATGTGTACATAAGATGAAATCATCCTATAGGAATAATGATCATTACTTGGGTTGATCTTTACAAAAATATGACTTTAAAAAAGCAGCACTAAGCTCTTCATACGGTAAAATAAAACAAACAATTGACAAAAAAAATGTTTGCTTTAAAAGCCATTTAAAGAAATAATATCGCGCTAGTGTTTTACTTGGCAGGCCTTATTAAACACGAAATACATTAATAGCAAGATGTGGAAGAATTTTTATCTTGAAGAAAGAAAAGTGTATTTTGGATGGGTTGAAGACACAACATTACGTACAAATAAACCCACTCACCAGTAGGCTTATCTATCACGTGAAATGCTTTGACAATAAAAAAAAATTTAATTTTAAAAATTAAAAAAAAAAAAATAGAAAATCAATTCTCCATGTGAGCCATACCGCCGTAGTAACTATAACCTTCTTTTGTATTCGATGCAAAACACTTACATTTTTTGTTCCGCAGGAATTTTCAAAATTTTATACCTAAAGAATATAAAGGTAAATTCTCTTTCCTACATGATAAATCTATAAATTGTTGATATGCCTTTTTCGAATAATGTCGCTCTAGGTTAAAATTTAAATGATTTTAGCAATTTACATAACAATACACGTCATTGAGACAAATATATATACTTATATATATAACGTATATATATATATATATATATATATATATATATATATATATATATATATATATATATATATATATGTGTATTCTAATTGTATCGCAACAGTTGTAAAAGAAGAACAGATAACTGCAATACCAATTAATCAGTTCAGTACTTATATGGCTGAACAAAACTCTGAATTCTTCCTACAGGATTTTGAGGTATTTTAATATATTGAAATTATTTTAACTGCCTTATGAGTATTGTTTTGACTTTTGTTTAAAAAAAGTGTTGCTTATCTTATTAAAATATATGTGCGTTTTGTTATTGGAATTACGCATTTTAAGAAATTAATATTTTGTGATATAAATTACTAGTGTAAAGAAGAGCAGTTCATGTTGAAAAATTTAGCTTAGACGTAGAGAATTTCGGGTATAAAAAGTTGTACCTATGTCGTTTTTTTTTTTGTTTTTTTTTTTGAAAAAAAAATTAAGAGTTGCTTAAATATTGTACTTGACGTGGCTAAAATGCCGTACTGATATCAATGTGATTGTGTACTTAAAATTTCCCCAAACACAGACTAGTTTACAAACATTTTTTTTAAGAGTTGTGTGTAGGCTACTTAGTTTACTATTTGTGCAGACTTTTGTTTAACTTACAATTACGTTAAACATAAAGTTAATCACTGCCTTGTGTTAAACAATAAATAGTATTGTGCAAAATAGCTTTTTTCTAAGTAGGTGTTTTAGATCAATAATAGACGGCCTTTATATACCCTCGTTTTTCCAATCATAAACACGGAAGTAACTTACAACCGTACGTACAAAGACTCAGTTTGTGTAGCTGGTGAAGTAGAGTTCCCAATTTTCATCTAACTCGTCGAGTGAAAGGACAGTGTGGTCAGCGCTCTGCCCAGTTGCCTTTACTTTTCCTAAAGTAAGCCAGGTACCCATCGGAGCTGGATGAACTCAATGACGCCTTACCCGGTACGAAAACTCGAGACTATCGTGTTAGCAGTCGAACGCTCCTCCGTTCCACCACGCCAGTTTTATGGGATCATTTTTTTCATACATGTGCTGCTTTTATCAATGCAACCTGATCTAATGTTGTAAATAAGCCTACACTTCAAACGGTTTTAAAAACCGTAAGTATCATTGTTGCTAAATCGAAAGTCTGAAGTTCGAACCCTAGGGCAAATGAGGCTAGACTGTAGTCGCCAGCGATTTTTCTAGGCGAGACAACTCCAAAATGAAACAACTTCTACCTTGTCGTTTGTTCTTGGTCGGACAAAGGCTATGGAAGCAAATGCAGAAAGAAAAGCAGGCTGAAATCAGAGTCAATAGTCTATATGGCGCATAACAAGTAGTCACGTAATAATTAATTATGTTGGAGGGGATCCCTCCAAACTCCGAACGAAGACAGAAGAAATGAGAAAACCTACCGTTTCTTAAATCTCATTTTTCCTAAAAACGTGTGTGTATAGTAACGCTTGCCTTTACTTTGTATTACAGAAAATACCGTTCTATAAAGTAGCAACCACCCTTGTGGGGACGAGAAAAGAAAACCTGAACAAAAATGTAGACACGACACCGGCTGCTAGCAAGTATTTTTTTTTTTAAATTACGAGTTCATAAGTTGTAACAGTTATATCAGTTGACGCTTGTTATTCTACTACCCAGGAGGTTAGTGCATCTGTGGTTAATAGATTAGCCAGGTACAGTATAGTAATGGTTAAATAACCGTAAATGGTTACTTATCTGCCAAGAGACTGTTAGGTCGAAAGTTAGAGTAATCGACTGCTGGCCTGAAAGTCTCCAGTTCAGATCTCGGACTTAAAACCACATGACATCATTGAGTCTACCCAGCTATGATGGGTACCTGACTCAATGTGGTAGGGCAAAGTGTTGGCCATATTATCCCTTCACACGGCGAGGTCTCTGAAACAGGTGAACTCTACTTCACCTGCTCCGTGGACTGTGTGGTTAGAAAGATGACTTTTTTAACTTGCCAACTACCGATTGATGCAAGATTTTGGCTGTTTTCTTTCAACAATTGATATGTGTATTGTAAACGTTATTGGGAACCTTGACTTTAACTAACACAAAATTTGATAGGTGTATTGTAAAAGCTGTAAACGTTATTGGGAACCTTGACTTTAACTAACACACAATTTGATAGGTGTATTGTAAAAGCTGTAAACGTTTTTGGGAACCTTGACTTTAACTAACACGCAACCGAATGAAATATTGAGATCGTTATCTCCTTTAAATACAGTTGTTGAATGCATTGTTGTCTTTAACAAAACAAGAGTCACGTTCCCCTGCATCAATATAAAAACGCCTCATAAACGACAAAGCATTGCCTAATACAGTTTTATGGATGTCAGTCACACCTGTAGACGAGCATACCTGGGACGGGCGGGTGGGGTTCAAACCTGTTATTTGTTATTGTTATTTAATGGCAGCTACTCCATAATCAAAGGCTGGATAATGTCCCTTGCTTTGATAGTTTTTATTTCCGTCAACAGTAGACGAAATAAGCTGGTCGTTTCTGTTGAAGACCGATATAAGTATTTCTTATTATTTTTTTTTAAACGCGTGGCTAAATATAGTATCATACAGCTAAAGACATTCCGATACGGGGTGATTTTGTGGATGTTGTGCTGAGTGTTGTAATTAGCTTTTTGTCTTGCGGAACACTGACTAAAAAGTCCGAGTGCTTCCCTTAATATCAGACATAATCTTTGACTTGACTTGTTCCTTTATGGCACCTGACGAGCAAAGGGCTACAACCACACCTCTCCACCGTAACTTGCGCTATATGCGCATACGTAAGCTGACAACCATTGTCTGTTCTTCTCCAGGATTTCCTTAGCCAGCTTACCCAACTGACCATCATATGTTTTATTCCAAGTCTTGTCTCTGTGTTGACCACATCATTTTTCTGCTTTTAGCTGATTATACCCGAGTGATAATCAATACACCGAAGGGAAGCAACCAAAACGAATATATCAACGCATCGTATGTTCAAGTAAGATCAACTTTATCGTAACTTGGACTAAATACTACATATCATTTCCAAAATTCTTTTAACACCGTAAGAAAATATAGATACCGCAGAGCATAGACCTCACTATTGGCCACAGAATAATTTATTATTCCGAGGTGTTTAGTAGGTGAACTCTACTTCGTCAACACTAATGATCATCAGGTCTAAAAGGAAAACTTTAAATCTTATATTCATTTGGGGAACAATGGCTCGCCCCAGTAGAGATTTACTTACGTAGATAAGAAGATGGTTTGAAAACTATTTGAACCAGCATGACAAAATATAAGAACACACCGTCTTTGACTGGAGTTGTGCACAATATAAAAATGTACCTCAATTTTATTTCGCTTTTGTTTATGAAGGATATAATTATATATTCTTGTGTTCTATTACTTTCAAAACAAACATTGATTCATCTTGATAAAGCAGCATCTTTCTATTTTTTAAAGGGCTTGCATTCAAAAGTAATAATCGCTTCGGAAGGTAAGGTTCACCTTCAACTGAATGTCGTATTACCATATCACACAGCTAGTAATATGAGTAACGTTTACACCTATTGTAATTAACAATATTGGAGTAGATTATGCGAAGATTAAAAAAACAAAACAAATGATAACATCACTGACTACCTACTTGTCTGAAGATTATCTCACCAATTGTTTTTTTTGTATATTATTATTGCTTGTGGAATTAAATTTATTTTACGTTTTGAAAATTAAATATAAAATTACATTTATTTAATGGATTTGGAATTGAGTTTATACTGTCCCCTGTCTCATATGTCCATGGGTATCCGTCCTAAATAAAAGCTATTTCACACGTTTTTTTTATTAAGGTATGTGTATAATTTATTGTATTTAACAAGTGATGGAAGGCTAGTGTATAAAGGCATACTATTTTAAGTGTTTGTGAGGATATATATTTGTGAGAAATATATTTCACACGTTCCGGCCTCATATGTCTTAAAAGGAAAAGTTTTAGATTTCACATATTTTTTGAGGTCCGTGTATAATGACATATATTTTACCTGTTTATAGAGGACCCTGTATAAAGACATGGTTCACAATTTTAATGGAGGCCCTTGTGTAATACCGTATAATGTTTACTAATTCACATGTTTATGTATGACTAGATTTAATTTATGAAGGTCCTTGTATGACAATCTATAATGTCTACTATTGCAAATGTGGATTGATGACCAGATTTAAGGTTTTGTATAATACAGTATAACGTCTGCCATTTCACATGTTTATTGTGGATCAGATTAATGAAGTTTCTTGTATAATGTTGTATGTTTACTATTTCACATGTTTATAGTGGACCAGATTAACGAAGTTCCTTGTATAATGTTGTATGTTTACTATTTCACATGTTTATAGAGCACCAGATTTATGAAGGTCATATAGTACCGTATAATGTCTATTATTTCACATTTTATAGTGGACTAGATTTACGAAGGTCGTATAGTACCGTATAATGTCTTTTTCACATTTTAAAGAGGACCAGATTAATGAACTTCCTTGTATAATGTTGTATTAAGTCTACTATTTGCCATGTTATCCCAGCCCCCAATAGCACGACCTTTGTTGACTTCCTGAGAATCCTCTGGGATGAACAAGTAGGAAAGATCGTTATGCTGAACAGGGTGAGTGCTAACACCATCTCGTGCTGTAGTGTATGCCATCACCCCAGAGGCGTAGTAAGGGGGGGGGGGGGGGGGGGGGCGGGGGTGCGGACCGCACCGGGTGACACCATTGAGGGGGGGTGACACCAAGGCAAAAATAGCAAAATATATAGCTAACAATGATAATTCCACTTAATTGAGCGATTAACTCGAGTGTTAAATAGTCTTTTAAGAGGTGGAAATCGAAAGTTTGAGGGGGGTGCAAACCTAATGTTTGCAGGGGGGGGGGGGTGCAAACCGAAAGTTTGAGGAGGAGGAGGGGGTGCAAATTGAAAATTGAAAGTTAGTCCCCGATCTCTACGCCTCTGGGGGGTGACACCATTAGGTGCCGCACCGGGCGACACCCGATCTTGCTACGCCACTGCATCACCCTATACAATTTACATATTACATGTCATTAATTAACGACATTATTGTACCATGTTATTAACGTGATAGAAAATATATAAAAATAACGATTATAAACGTTTCGAATATGTGTTTCTCCCCATATGTTTGATTAGGATCAAGAACCGTACTGGTCGGAAGAAGGGAAAATCATTGATACTTTTAGGATAAAAGTTTTAAGCACACGGGTATATGCGGACTACACAACAAGACACATCGAAATTCAAAAGGTCATTTTGTTTACAAATTAATATTGTGTTGTTTTATAGCATAGTATAGGCCTATTTAATAAAACTAAGTTTTTATTTATGTTATTATGAGTTTTAGATAAATTAGTATGCTTTATTGATTCAAGTACGAACGTATTCCGCAAAGTGCAATTGGTATTATGTAGACGAATATTCTAGACTAGGCCGATGACTTTATGAAATGTATATTATCTTCCTATTGACTTGGCCCAAGATCTTGAAAAAAATATAATCCCTTCCCCCACATTTACTATGCCGATGGCCTAATGTAACGTATATTCTTTTCCCATTAACTAGGCCTATGACCAGATGTATATTCTCTTCCAATTTTCTAGGCCGATGACCTAATGCAACGTATATTCTCTTCCATTTGTCTAGGCCGATGACCTAATTTAACGTATATTCTCTGTCTATTGACTAGGCCGATGACCTAATGCAACGTATATTCTCTTCCATTAGTCTAGGCCGATGACCTAATGTAACGTATATTCTCTTCCATTTGTCTAGACCGATGACCTAATGCAACGTATATTTTCTTCCATTAGTCTAGGCCGATGACCTAATTTAACGTATATACTCTGTCTATTGACTAGGCCGATGACCTAATGCAACGTATATTCTCTTCCATTAGTCTAGGCCGATGACCTAATGTAACGTATATTCTCTTCCATTTGTCTAGGTCGATAGCCCGTCTCTCACAAATCTCCTGACCCACTTCCATTTCACCTCATGGCCGGAAGACGGGTCGGACCCGTGTGTCTGGAGCCTAGTGGACTTTGAGCATCGGGTCTTCCTTAAGCCAACGGATTCCAGAACTTTGGTCCATTGCAGGTCAGATTAACAATAGGGTGTGCCCTATTTTGACTAATAGAACACTTTTTACTTTCCTGTATATACGAAGTATAGAGAAAGTATTGTAATAGTGCACAAATCACTTGAAATTTTAACAATTTGCACCGTATTAAAACCTCATTCCTTCATCACATCCGAAGTATAGAGGACCTATTTTAATCAGGCAAAAATTATCAATCCAGGTTTATCAAAATTAAGAGGTTTTCTGTGTAATCCAGTCTGAAAAATTGGGCTTTGCAATTCTGTCTGTATGTCTGTGTGTCTGTCTGTGTGTAAACACGATTACTTGAGTACCGTTACAGCTAGGTTGATGAAATTTAATATATAAGTATTTTATCAAAATCGTTGATCCGTTTCAACTTTTGAGCGATTTCCGATAAACGAAAGTGGTACTTTTTCTATTTTGAATTTTTCAAAAGCCTATAACTTGAGTACTATTTCAGATAGATAAATGAAATTTCACATGTAAGTAAAAGATCTAATTCTCTACCCTCTAGTAAATTTTGAGTAATTTCCATTGACCGGAAGTAGTAATTTACGCTACTTCCGATTTCTCAAAAAAACTAATGTAAATTTTTAAAGTACTAATAATATTGTGCACTATTATGCTCTTTTTTATTTGGCGTTCACTTGGTGTGCAATTCTTTTGTCTACGAGATTTTAATTCTATTTTTTAAAACTTTAAGTATTTAAAATGGATTAAAAATCATGTCTATAGCCCGAGTTCCCATCCCCTGTTGTTTTATATAAGAATATTCGAGAAAGTTTAGGGGAGATCACTCCCGGTTTATTTTCAATAAATTATTATATTCTTCCTTATAACAAGAACCAAAAGTCTATTTATTTAAATAAAGTTTGTTTTTGAAGTAATTATATATGCAAGCCTTTTAAAAAAATACAATACCAAATAGTAAACATTGTTTTCATTTTCTCCTTGATTTACCTTTACCGGCTATATTTGCTCAGCCGAATCCAAAAATAATCTAATCTAATTAAGAACTCGTTATTGCGTCTTTGAGTCTACTCATCTCTAATGGGTACCTTACAACATTCGGGGATGGTAAAGGCAGATAAAAATAACGCTGAACAGATAAGCTCTCGCTTACAAACCTGTCGTATTTTGTATCACTATGAATCAAATATATCAATGTACAAACCGTCTTCGCGAAAAAAAAATGGACTCATGTTTTTGTTTCTACAGGAACGGAACAACACGGACATCCATATTTATAGCTCTACATGATCTGATCTTGCAAGCTAAAATTTGGAACGTGATTGATTTCGTCAAAACAGTGACGAAATTACGACAAGACAGAAGTCATATGATTGAAACCTTCGTAAGTTAGGCTAAAAAATGTAGCTTGGCTATACATAATTTTATAAGCAAAGAGGTTATATGAATTAAACCTTTGTAAGTTAGGCTAGAAATGTAGCTTGGCTATACATAATTTTATAAGCAAAGAGGTTATATGAATTAAACCTTTGTAAGTTGGGCTATAAATGTAGCTTGGCTATACATAATTTTATAAGCAAAGAGGTTATATGAATTAAACCTTTGTAAGTTGGGCTAGAAATGTAGCTTGGCTATACATAATTTTATAAGCAAAGAGGTTATATGAATTAAACCTTTGTAAGTTGGGCTAGAAATGTAGCTTGGCTATACATAATTTTATAAGCAAAGAGGTTATATGAATTAAACCTTTGTAAGTTAGGCTAGAAATGTAGCTTGGCTATACATAATTTTATAAGCAAAGAGGTTATATGAATTAAACCTTTGTAAGTTGGGCTAGAAATGTAGCTTGGCTATACATAATTTTATAAGCAAAGAGGTTATATGAATTAAACCTTTGTAAGTTGGGCTAGAAATGTAGCTTGGCTATACATAATTTTATAAGCAAAGAGGTTATATGAATTAAACCTTTGTAAGTTGGGCTAGAAATGTAGCTTGGCTATACATAATTTTATAAGCAAAGAGGTTATATGAATTAAACCTTTGTAAGTTGGGCTAGAAATGTAGCTTGGCTATACATAATTTTATAAGCAAAGAGGTTATATGAATTAAACCTTTGTAAGTTGGGCTAGAAATGTAGCTTGGCTATACATAATTTTATAAGCAAAGAGGTTATATGAATTAAACCTTTGTAAGTTGGGCTAGAAATGTAGCTTGGCTATACATAATTTTATAAGTAAAGAGGTTATATGATTAAAACCTTATTATGTTATTATTGACAGGAGCAGTACCTCTATTTTTACTTCCTTTAGACCAGGGGTCTCCAAACTTTTCAGTCCGAGGGCCGCATCAACTATCAAATTTCAGTTCGGGGGCCAGTTTCTTCCAGGCATGACGTGATTTTTCTGAGCAAAGTTCCTCAGCCATTACCAACAAATGTTTTTTCCGTGGACAAAAAGATCTCCGCGGGCCGGATGAGAGGACCTCGCGGGCCGCATCCGGCCCGCGGGCCGTAGTTTGGAGACCCCTGCTTTAGACCAAATAGCTACAAACTAATGTTATTATTGACAGGAGCAGTACCTCTATTTTTACTTCCATTAGACCAAATAGCTAAAAACTAATGTTATTATTGACAGGAGCAGTACCTCTATTTTTACTTCCATTAGACCAAATAGCTACAAACTAATATTATTATTGATAGGAGCAGTACCTCTATTTTTACTTCCATTAGACCAAATTGCTACAAACTAATGTTATTATTGACAGGAGCAGTACCTCTATTTTTACTTCCATTCGACTAAATTGCTACCAACTAATGTTATTATTGACAGGAGCAGTACCTCTATTTTTACTTCCATTCGACTAAATTGCTACCAACTAATGTTATTATTGACAGGAGCAGTACATCTATTTTTACTTCCATTCGACTAAATTGCTACCAACTAATGTTATTATTAACAGGAGCAGTACATCTATTTTTATTTCCATCAGACAAAATTGCTACCAACTAATGTTATTATTGACAGGAGCAGTACATCTATTTTTATTTCTATTAGACTAAATAGCTACAAACTAATGTTATTATTGACAGGAGCAGTACCTCTATTTTTACTTCCATTAGACTAAATTGCTACCAACTAATGTTATTATTGACAGGAGCAGTACCTCTATTTTTACTTCCATTAGACTAAATTGCTACCAACTAATGTTATTATTGACAGGAGCAGTACCTCTATTTTTACTTCCATTAGACTAAATTTCTACATACTAATGTTATTATTGACAGGAGCAGTACATCTATTTTTACTTCCATTCGACTAAATTGCTACCAACTAATGTTATTATTGACAGGAGCAGTACCTCTATTTTTCTTCCATTAGACTAAATAGCTACAAACTAATGTTATTATTGACAGGAGCAGTACCTCTATTTTTCTTCCATTAGACTAAATAGCTACAAACTAATGTTATTATTGACAGGAGCAGTACCTCTATTTTTACTTCCATTCGACTAAATTGCTACCAACTAATGTTATTATTGACAGGAGCAGTACCTCTATTTTTACTTCCATTAGACTAAATTGCTACCAACTAATGTTATTATTGACAGGAGCAGTACCTCTATTTTTACTTCCATTAGACCAAATTGCTACCAACTAATGTTATTATTGACAGGAGCAGTACCTCTATTTTTACCTCCATTCGACCAAAATGCTACCAACTAATGTTATTATTGACAGGAGCAGTACCTCTATTTTTACTTCCATTAGACCAAATTGCTACCAACTAATGTTATTATTGACAGGAGCAGTACCTCTATTTTTACTTCCATTCGGCTAAATAGCTACAAACTAATGTTATTATTGACAGGAGCAGTGCCTCTATTTTTACTTCCATTAGACTAAATTGCTACAAACTAATATTAGTATTGACAGGATCAGTACCTCTATTTTTACTTCCATTAGACTAAAATGCTACCAACTAATGTTATTATTGACAGGAGCAGTACCTCTATTTTTACTTCTATTAGACTAAATAGCTAGAAACTAATGTTATTATTGACAGGAGCAGTAACTGCTACTATATTTGCTACCAACTAATGTTATTATTGACAGGATCAGTACATCTATTTTTACTTCCATTAGACTAAATAGCTACAAACTAATGTTATTATTGACAGGATCAGTACCTGCTACTACATCGTGCCATGCTTGCTGGCCTAGCATGCCTGGGAACCTACACACACCTGAACACCATTTTTCTCAAAATCTATCTCTTGGGCAATTTTATCCATGGAAAGACGAATTTCGAAAGAGAATTCAATGTAATGTATTTTTTTAAAAAGTTTTATGGGTTTTTTAGCTTTTGTAAAAAAAAACCAATATATTTTATAGACTTTTTTTAGCATTTGTCTTCTATGCAGCTGTTTGTTAAGGTGATTTTTTTTTAAATATTAAAATTAGAAAGACATTGCCGATATTGTTAGGTGGATAATTATGTTAAGGTCAAGTTATAGTTTAGAAATGTAAGCTGTGTGACTATATTAGTAGAAATCGATTTGACTTTATTGAGTTTTGTCTGCCCAGTATAAATCGATTTGATTTTATTGAGTTTTGTCTGTCCAGTATAAATCGATTTGACTTTATTGAGTTTTGTCTGTCCAGTTTAAATCGATTTGACTTTATTGAGTTTTGTCTGCCCAGTATAAATCGATTTGACTTTATTGAGTTTTATCTGTCCAGTATAAATCGAATTGACTTTATTGAGTTTTGTCTGTCCAGTTTAAATCGATTTGACTTTATTGAGTTTTGTCTGTCCAGTTTAAATCGATTTGACTTTATTGAGTTTTGTCTGTCCAGTTTAAATCGATTTGACTTTATTGAGTTTTGTCTGTCCAGTTTAAATCGATATGACTTTATTGAGTTTTGTCTGCCCAGTATAAATCGATTTGACTTTATTGAGTTTTATCTGTCCAGTATAAATCGAATTGACTTTATTGAGTTTTGTCTGTCCAGTTTAAATCGATTTGACTTTATTGAGTTTTGTCTGTCCAGTTTAAATCGATTTGACTTTATTGAGTTTTGTCTGTCCAGTTTAAATCGATTTGACTTTATTGAGTTTTGTCTGTCCAGTTTAAATCGATTTGACTTTATTGAGTTTTGCCTGCCCAGTTGATCGTTACCACAGTTTGAAATTTAATTATTAAAAAATATTTAAAGTAATATATTACAATATCTACTCGTTGCTATAAACCATTCGCGAGTAAAGTTGCCATTGTTTACAAGTTTGTGTATTGGTTGTTTTTTTTTAGGTATTGCGATATCATAACGTTTGCAATGTGTCGAACTGTAAAATGCATATTTATGTAGCGAAAGTATTTCCTTTTTATAACATTTTTTTAAAAATGATAATGAAATTAATGGCATATATATGTTCACCACCCAATCCCCCCAACCACCACCCACCCCCACCTAACCTACATGCCTGTCAGAGGATTCCTACCTTCGCTACCTGCGGAGAAAAAGACCACGGCAATGATGGAGGAGCATTTGCGGGTCTCGTTAGCAAGAGCAGATGTAGCATTATACCAAGTACGTATATAACAATATTTAGAACAGATGTAGCATTATACCAAGTACGTATATAACAATATTTAGAGCACATGTAGCATTATACCAAGTACGTATATAACAATATTTAGAACAGATGTAGCATTATACCAAGTACATATATAACAATATTTAGAGCAGATGTAGCATTATACCAAGTACGTATATAACAATATTTAGAACAGATGTAGCATTATACCAAGTACGTATATAACAATATTTAGAGCAGATGTAGCATTATACCAAGTACGTATATAACAATATTTAGAACATATTTAGCATTATACCAACTACTTATATAACAATATTTAGAACAGATGTAGCATTATACCAAGTACGTATATAATAATATTTAGAACAGATGTAGCATTATACCAAATACGTACATAACAATATTTAGAGCATATGTAGCATTATACCAAGTACGTTATTAACAATATTTAGAGCAGACGTAGTATTATACCAAGTACGTATTTAACAATATTTAGAACAGATGTAGCATTATACCAAGTACGTATATAACAATATTTAGAGCAGATGTAGCATTATACCAAGTACGTATATAACAATATTTAGAGCAGATGTAGCATTATACCAAGTACGTATATAACAATTAAAACGAATGTAGCATTATATCAAGTACGCATACAATAATAGTAAGAAAAGATGTAGCATTAAACAAGTATCTCTAACAATTTTAGCTTTATACCAAGTACGTATATAACAATAGTACCCGTTAGTTCTTAGCGCTGTCGTTGTAAAAAAAAACTCACAATATAATTTATTTCCAGTAAAGACCAATTATTTTAGTGGAAAAAATGTGCTATCTTTCATGATGACAGGCTAATTTTTCAAAAGTATTTTTAGATTGTTAAGTTTGTGTAAGTGTGTGCATTATTTAGATACAAAAATTGTATTACCCTGTTTTCTTGTGTAAGTTAACATCGTGTGTGTATTACTTAGACATTTGTAGACTACATCCTCGTGTTTCCTTGTGTAAGTTAACATTGTGTGTGTATTATCTAGACAAGAAGTACATCCCAGTGTTTTTTGTGTAAGTTACAATCATGTGTGTATTATCTAGTGAAGAAGTACACTATTTTCTTGTGTAAGTTAACATCGTGTGTGTATTACGTAGACAAGAATTACCCTATTTTCTTGTGTAAGTTAACATCGTGTGTGTGTATTACTTAGACAAGAAGTACACTATTTTCTTGTGTAAGTTAACATCGTGTGTGTATTACTTAGAAGTACACTATTTTCTTGTGTAAGTTAACATCGTGTGTGTATTACTTAGACAAGAATTACCCTATTTTATTGTGTAAGATAACATCGTGTGTGTATTACTTAGACAAGAAGTACATCCCAATGTTACATGACGACTCAGATCCAGCTGGAGGTTACATCAACGCCGTTACCGTAACTGTAAGAAGTTTTGAATTACTCAATTTAAAGGCGAAACAAAAAATGAAAAAATAAAAATATATTTAATATTCCATTAAAAATAATATCTGCAATACAGCTTTAAGTTTTGTAAAGTAATAACGTATGATTCCATTTTGCATGAATATTTTTTTTTAAATTAATATTGATAATTAAAAATAATTATAAGCAAGTTGATTTAGACATAATATTAAACATAATCTGAAAATTCGTTGACGTTATAACAACGAACAATTACTTTTAGTTGTTGATAGTTATAAACTTAAGAAATACATATACTGTGCCCAAAAGTAAAGTAAACAAGAATTAATGTACACAATTTTTTGTACAAAAAATTACTTCAGTACATGGTTAAATTAACTACGTTAGGTTTATTTCAAATGTCAATATAGGCTTATATTTGTAGCATTATTTTCAATCAAGATGGTAATTTTACATATTTTTTTTTACTTATGTACATTTTTTTCTATATCTATATCTGTTTCGCATAACAATTGTTAATTCCTGATACCTGCTTACACTTAGGATAAGGTTTGTTTAGGATAGCACTGAATAAATTATCCCTATCCCACTTTGTGCGCAGAGCCTGAACGTGCATCCCAAACAGTTCCTGACCCAGCTGCCCCTGCCCACAACAACCAACGACTTTTGGAGGCTGGTCACACAGTATAACGTCTCCTTGATTGTTGCTTTTAACGTTCTGGTGAAAGACTCGGTAAGATTTATCATTTACAATGATTGTTTTAAAAATTGATATCACGGTTATTATTATTAGATATCTTGTGATTATAATTAATACTATAATTTATTTATTATTATTATTATTATTTTTATTATTATTATTATTATTATTATTATTTTTAATTATTATTATTATTATTATTATTATTATTATTATTATTATTATTATTATTATTATTATTATTATTATTATTATTATTATTATTATTATTATTATTATCATTATTGTTATTATTTTCTTTTTTATCATTATTTTATTATTATTAGGTTTTTATGTTAATATCATTTTGATATATTATTACTTTTATTAATAAATCTAGTATTAATATTATTAGTATTTATATTAGCATTTATATTAGTTTTTATATTATTAATACTATTATTATTATTATTATTATTATTATTATTGATACTATTAATATTAATACCCTTATTATTATTAATATTAAAACTATTATTACTATTATTGTTATTCTGTTGTTGTTGTTTTTATTAATATCATTGATAATATTATAACTATTTTTAATTGTATACTACTACAAATCTATACTTCTTATTATGTTATTCTTTTTAAAAAAAAATCTTACTATTATTGCGACAGCGATTAAGTTTTAAATTTTCATTTTGAATATAATTGTGATTTCGACTGTTATTCCAACTGCTATTTCCGAATTCGAATGCAATACGCAGTGGCATTGCAGATTGTTATTCCGGATTTTTGTCTTCCCAAGCAGAGGCGTAGCGAGGGGGGGGGGGGGTGAGGGGGGGACATATGTCCCCCGCCGACCTTAGGGGGCGCCAAAATAGGTTGGAAAAATAAATTGAAAGCTTGAGGGGGGGGGGGGGTGCAAATTGAAAGGGTCGCTACGTCTCTGGTACCAAGTATGAATGTTTTTCTTATGTAATTATACATACATTCAGAATAAAATTCCACAGAACTAAATTAAATAATTATGACTAGAATATTAAACATGTATGAAATGTACGTTAATTTGAAATACATCTTCTGTAGTCCCTAGGTTCCTATTTACCTGAAACAAAAGGCCAGCCGTTGCCGTGCGGAGATCTGTTTGTCATGGTCAAGTCATTGACCAAGAGAACAATATGGGAAGAAAGGGTTGTCACAGTCAGGGTAATATAAATACGTCTCCACTACTGTTGTGTTTCATTTGCTTGGTACTGACATTCATTTGTCATAAGTGAATAAATCTGGTATTTGTGTGTTTGATACTGACATTCTGTTGTCATAAGTGAATAAAGCTGGTATTTGTGTGTTTGATACTGACATTCTGTTGTCATAAGTGAATAAAGCTGGTATTTGTGTGTTTGATACTGACATTCTGTTGTCATAAGTGAATAAAGCTGGTATTTGTGTGTTTGATACTGACATTCTGTTGTCATAAATGAATAAAGCTGGTATTTGTGTGTTTGATACTGACATTCTGTTGTCATAAGTGTATAAAGCTGGTATTTGTGTGTTTGATACTGACATTCTGTTGTCATAAGTGAATAAAGCTGGTATTTGTGTGTTTGATACTGACATTCTGTTGTCATAAGTGTATAAAGCTGGTATTTGTGTGTTTGATACTGACATTCTGTTGTCATAAGTGTATAAAGCTGGTATTTGTGTGTTTGATACTGACATTCTGTTGTCATAAGTGAATAAAGCTGGTATTTGTGTGTTTGATACTGACATTCTGTTGTCATAAGTGTATAAAGCTGGTATTTGTGTGTTTGATACTGACATTCTGTTGTCATAAGTGAATAAAGCTGGTATTTGTGTGTTTGATACTGACATTCTGTTGTCATAAGTGTATAAAGCTGGTATTTGTGTGTTTGATACTGACATTCTGTTGTCATAAGTGTATAAAGCTGGTATTTGTGTGTTTGATACTGACATTCTGTTGTCATAAGTGAATAAAGCTGGTATTTGTGTGTTTGATACTGACATTCTGTTGTCATAAGTGTATAAAGCTGGTATTTGTGTGTTTGATATTGGCATTCTGTTGTCATAAGTGTATAAAGCTGGTATTTGTGTGTTTGATATTGGCATTCTGTTATCATGACAAGTGACTAAATCTGGTGTTTGAGTGTTTGATACAAGCATGCTTGTTAATGTCATCTTAAGAGTTATGAGAATTGATATATGTGATTGTTAACGCGTTAAACAAATATTCAACACAATATTTAAAAGTCGTTATATGAGTAGGAAGTAGGTCAGGGGTAGAGAGAAGTGGGGCAGAGATAGCGAGATAATACGCCGCTATTTATTTGTTTTATTTTCTACTTTTCAGTAATTCATAATTTGTGAACTCGACAGTACCAATGCTGCCACTGAATATATTTGCTTTAAAACACTATCAGTAGCTCGTTAAGGACGATAACCCCCCCCCCCCTCTCTTTTCCCCAACCCATACCCCCCCCCCATGAAAGCAGCCTCCTCTTATTTACCTCCCCTAGCTTAAAATAGTTTCAAACTAAATTATCAGCCCCTAATAGCCATCACTAAACCCGGCTCTACGATTGTAAACATTTAGCGTGAACCACAGCTCACCAGACCATGTAGGAGTGGGGTGGTAAGGAACGCGCTTACAGCTTGGTGTTTTCTAGGGTCTCCAAGAAGAGAATTATATATATGGATGTTTTGTTTTATAAAGTGTATATTAACACATGTTATGTTGAAATGTTGTTTTTTAATATATTGTCACATAATATGTCGCACAAAAATAATTTGCAAAATAAAATCCAATATTTTTAGAAAAACTTAGATTACTCTGTACGCTTAAAACGAAACCTTACTTTGATAAGTTTAGATTTCCATGTACTACTCTATCGGATTAAAACATGCTTTCAACTCTCGTAGGCCAAAACATTTCACGAAGTGACGCATCTGACGTACGTAGCTGAGGAATACGACGCCAAACGTCTCTTGCCCTTTGTGCTAATGATCCGTTCGCTGAAGACTCGCGACGGGGCTGTAGTCTACACGTGCAGGCAAGTGACGTGTGCACGTGTTTAGTTAGTGTCAGTGTTTCTTCCAGACTTTTTTCTCCGGGGGGACACTTGCTTTTTTCCCGGGGGGGGGGGGGGGACGGTCAACATTTTCCGGGGGTGGGGGAGGGGGCTGACACTGGTAAAAGTATATGTTTTCTATATAAATTCTAAATTCCGTTTAGAAACGGTGCCGAACTCAGCGGACTGGCTTACGTCTTGACCACCCTGATAGAACGACTGGACCAAGAGAACTACATGACGGTTCCTTTTGTTATTGGTAAAGTGAAATCCATCAGACCACAAGTCATCCCAACACTTGTAAGTCCGCTAGTTTGTATTCCTTAAATATTGACTGTCAGAATAATACAACGGTTTAAACTACGCGTAATACCAACTTTATATCCCACGCTACAAATTAATTTTAAATGTTTTTACCGACTTTATATCCCACGCTACAAATTAATTTTAAATGATTTTATTTTGTAAACAAATGGTAAATAGGTTTCAAATTTTTAGAAACTTGAATTTTAAATTTAACTGTATTTCCTACGCTACAAACTAATAAATTTAAGTGATTTCATTTATGTAAATAAATAGTAAAAATATTCTATATTTTGAGAAACTTTAACTTTTAAAGTTAGTTTTTTTTTTCCAACGCTACAAATTAATTTTAAATGATTTTATTCTATAAAATAAAAAAAAATTTACTCTGAATTTTGAAAAACATGACAACAATACATTTGTTTCCATAGCAACAGTATATAACGGTGTACGAAACCATGAAACTCTACACCGAATCTATTATCAGTACCGCGAGGTACCGCAAGGATTACAGCACAACTGTCTGATCAAAGACTGCCTTGATTGGCCAAAGTGAAGTCCCCAAAACATGGGTTTTAATGAGTATGACGGTTGCAATCAATCATATTTACATAATACTGCATGCATGGCTATAAATTAATAAAATAATAATTTAAATATTACCATTTGGGCTATATTTAGGTATAATACTTGTTCGCTCGTGTAAATTTGATCGTATCATCAAAACATGTATATGTGATTATTCGTGAACAGTACACTATATTTTTTTCAATTTTGTTTTGTTTTTAAGTGATTAATTTAAAATGATACATTATAATAATTTCAATTTTCAATTTTTATTTCAATTATTATTTATGTATTTATGTTACGTGTGGGTTTTCAGAAAAGAAAATATTAAAATGTAATTCATAATTATAATTAGGTTTAATTATCTACATAGGCAAGGAATAAATTAAAGGCGTCAATGTCTTCTGGATTAATTTTTAGGACGAACCCAATTCGTCGCCATCTTAGTTTTAAAATTAATTGTATAGAATATTAGAGCAATTTCTTTTGACATACGGGTGTCAAGAATGCATTTTGTAATATATAAATAATAATGTTACGGTTGATATCTCTTACAATGTTGACTAATACGTGTTTATCTAAAGATACAACCATTTCGCGTTGCTATTTCTTGCTCTGGTTATTACATTGATTTATCGTTTGCTATTGCGGTAATTGGTACAATTGATAATAAACTGCAAACACATATTTTTTTTTAAATCAATCTTTTCTGAAGCTATGTAACATAAAGGTTAACTTTAATGCTGTAGCATGTTTTTTTTTTTTTTTTTTTTTTTTTTTTTTTTTTTTTTTTTTTTTTTTTTTTTTTTAGATATCTAACTCCCCAAATCAACATGTTCTCATCAAAGTTCTTTTGATCAGATTGTTTGAGCTCAAATAATATGTATTATAAAATTTTTATAACAATCAAGTTATAAGTCATCTAGCTATTGCAGCTGCTATATATTTTATTTGTGATGTTGTATATAGTGTTTCTTTTTTTCTCTTTAAATAACATGAAAAATTGTTATATTGACCGCCGTTGGTTAGACGAAAACAATAAATAAATACAACACATATTCTGTTTTGGAAAATTATTTCTTTTATTAGTATTTGGTAGTTGATATAATGCCAAGGATACTTGGATTCACCGATAAGATTTTCAACAGATCTGATTATGGATTAGATGTGGTATCTGTTGGTGGATTAGTCGGGACATCAGTTGGTGGATTAGTCGGGGCATCAGTTGGTGGATTAGTCGGGGCATTAGTTGGTGGATTAGTCGGGGCATCAGTTGGTGGATTAGTCGAGGCATCAGTTGGTGGATTAGTCGGGGCATCTGTTGGTGGATTAGTCGGGGCATCTGTTGGTGGATTTGTCGGGGCATCTGTTGGTGGATTAGTCGGGGCATCAGTTGGTGGATTTGTCGGGGCATCTGTTGGTGGATTAGCCTCCAGGCCAGCCGGGGTTGTTCCGACACACGGGCCGGGGTAGGCCACGACAACCCACTTCAGCAACCACCTCTGGCAGCTGGTGGCCTGTAGCTGGCAGGCGTTGGTGTACGTGACGCCATCACTGCCACACACTGGCCTGGGCGTCGAGGGGCATCGTGAGGGGCACCAACTCCTAATAAGGGTTTCATCGTCGTCTGATCTCGCTGAAAAAATTGGGTTTTGTTATTGAATTTTACATTAAACAATTACGTTGACTTTATATATACATATATATATATATATATATATATATATATATATATATATATATATATATATATATATATATATATATATATATATATATATATATATCGTTGTGTTTTGCGAATGTTCTCCGATTTTTTTTTATTCTTATTTAAAAGATATATTGAATATGATAACATTGCTAATATCGATATCAAAATCCTTTTTATCGATCCCGGGTAAATACAAGCCATTTCAGTAGCAAATTTTCTCCTTCCGTGCCCTAGAAACTTGAGGCAGGTTTTACAGTGCTGATCTGTTTTAGTAACCTTCAAAGTAATGATGTGGTCAGCACTATGCCATAAGGACCTTATTTTTTTTACGGTCAAGTTACAAGAAAGGAGGATGGACACAGTTACTTCCTACTGACTGTATTCCGTTTCCGGTCTCGAGACTTTTGGGATTAGTTGTGTTAATCTTTATCATCCGACCACAACATAGCAAAAAAAAATCATCAAAAGACATTTTAGCGGCACTACATTGTGTCAAAAACGGCCTATATATTGCCCGATAATTTTTGAATATGTTAAAATCTATTAAGGAATAATTCAATTTTCAGCTTTATTTAGAACAAAACGCTAAATTAAGCGAAATCCGTTCTTGGCGTTTAAAAATTAAATTAAGTAATCGACTCATTAAAAGTCGTTATATAAAAATATTTTCAACATTTAACTGTAGAGCTTAGATTTTTAAAAATACAGAATTTACATATTTTATGTACACAAGAAGGATATAGTCAACTTGTAACGTTGCTGGCTTGACTCTGATAAAAACACAACTGAACATACACTAAGCGGTGGTCACAAATACAAATACACTATACTTCTTCTTTAACTCACTGAAAAGTATACCTTTCTTCAAAGATAAAAACATCATACAATATCAACATCATAGAATGCGGTGCTAAATTATTGGTCTTGAAGCTACATAATTCCAAAATACATCTTATATGTAAACAATATGCTCGTCAAAACTAAATCAATGGTGCATCCAAATTGGATAGAATACAGAAAATAGTGAATGAAATGCACCACTTGTCTATGTTGTATAGAATACAATAATAGTTAATGAAATGTACCACTTACCTATGTCAACATAACAAAATCAATGGTGTAGCAAAAGTTGGATAGAATACAATGATATTAATGAAATGTACCACTTACCTATGTTGGATAGCATACAACGATATTAATTAAATATACAACTTACCTATGTCAACATAACAAAATCAATGGTGTAGCAAAAGTTGGATAGAATACAATGATATTAATGAAATGTACCACTTACCTATGTTGGATAGCATACAACGATATTAATTAAATATACAACTTACCTATGTCAACATAACAAAATCAATGGTGTAGCAAAAGTTGGATAGAATACAATGATAGTTAACGAAATGTACCACTTACCTATGCTAGGTAGAATACAATAATAGTTAATGAAATGTACCACTTAGCTATGTTGGATAGAATTAATACTAATAGTTTCGCTGTCTGACAAGAACGCTCTGTCTGTCAAGAACGCTCTGTCTGACAAGAACGCTCTAGAGAAAACACAAGCAAAATAAAAACATGCACAGTAATTCGAAAAACGAAATATGACGTCGACACATTTAGCGTAGAGTAGAAAATAATCTCAAACCCAGAGAGTGCTCACAGTTATATGACGTCATTGATTTTCGCGTTAACATTGAATAAAAAGGAAATGTTGTCTAATCTTAATGGTTTGCGTGAAGAGTTTCTTGCATACAATTCTTCGGGTAGGGGCGAAGCCCCACCCCACGCGTAAGAACGTCTGAGCCCCCCCCCCCTCCCCAACTCAAAAGAAATTTCTTCATCGATACTCTATAATAAAATTACCGCCTAATTAATGTGTCTAATCTAAAAAGTGGTTTTCTTGCAATTTCTTTAATGCAATTCTTCGGGTAGTGGCTAAGCGCGACACCAGTGTTTCTTTCAGACTTTTTCCTCCCCGGAGAGGGGTGGGGGTACTTGGAATTTTCGGGGGCGGACACTGGAAAAAGTATATAATTATATTTCGTTGAATGGGACGGTAGACATGTTTTTTTGGGGGGTGGGGGTGGGTGGGTGGGGGTGGGTGGGGGGTGGTGTGTGGGGGGTGGGGGTGGTGTGTGTGGGGGTGGGGGTGGGTGGTGTGTGGGGGGTGGAGGTGTGTGGGGGTGGGGGGTGGGGGTGGTGGGGGTGGGGGTGGGGGTACTTGAGGTTTTCGGGGGCGGGGGTAGAATTTTCGGGAAGGGGGCGGACACTGGAAAAAGTATATAATTATATTTCGTTGAATGGGACGGTAGACATGTTTTTTTGGGGGGTGGGGGTGGGTGGGTGGGGGTGGGTGGGGGGTGGTGTGTGGGGGGTGGGGGTGGTGTGTGTGGGGGTGGGGGTGGGTGGTGTGTGGGGGGTGGAGGTGTGTGGGGGTGGGGGGTGGGGGTGGTGGGGGTGGGGGGTGGGGGTGGGGGTGTGTGTGTGGGGGGGTGGGATGGTTTTAGTTTAGAGAAAAGAGACAGCACTATCAGCCTAGCGCCCGTTGTACCCTTCCTCAACGGGCCATTTATCTAGTACAATGATATTAATGAAATGTAACACTTACCTATGTTGGATAGAATACAACGATATTAATTAAATATACAACTTACCTATGTCAATATAATAAAATCAATGGTGTAGCAAAAGTTGGATAGAATACAATGATATTAATGAAATGTAACACTTACCTATGTTGGATAGAATACAATGATATTAATGAAATGTAACACTTACCTATGTCAACACACGCCATAAGGCAAGCGGTGACTAGAACGGCTGTGGTTAATTTCAAAGACATGACTTCTGATGAGAAAATACAATAATATTTTTAATAACGTCTAGAGTATTTTAACACACGGATGATAAATGACACAACGGCTTAAAGATATCAAGTAAAGTAAAGTGAAGTTCCCTTTCAAACCTGACGGTCTATGGTGCAAGTGAAGTAGAGTTCACTTGTCTCTGTGATCTCGGCATATGAAAGGACAGTGTGGTGATCATTATGCACTATAATATGAAGTAGGTACCCATCAGAGCTGAATAGACTAAGGGACGGTATACTGACTTCAACCCGGATTTGAACTCGAGACTTACGGGTTAGAATTCCAGCTCTCTGCCGCTAGGCCACTCCATCCCCTCAGCAACAAGTAAAAGTATATATCGTTTTACATCAGTAACAGTCTGTCCTGACAACTTAATATGTTTAAGCTAAACACTAAACTTATGCGATTTAGATAACAGTCTATCCTAGCCTAAGTATTAATAACGATGTCATTAAAACTCGCTCTTAGCCCACAAATCATCAAGCACGTGCAATCTTTACTCACCAGCAGCTGATTGCGTGTCCAGGACTTGAGCACGGGATGTTCATGTGACCTCAACTTGCCAGGGATTTTATACTGTTGTCACCGCCAGATGCTCGCCTGTGGGGAAAGTACTTTTAACACGCATGACTGAACACGATAGAAAACCGGAATTCATTATTTCCCATGCTGCTTTGCGTGTTTTTAATAAAAAGGTAACATATGAACTGCAGCATAGCAGACGTCAAGCAGGTGTCCACTCACTGTACACATACTGCATTTATCTAGACGTTTCATCGCTAATTGTAAATCCTGCAACAAATTATTTATAGATTTTCCCCATATAAAAAAGCGCAATTGTGGATATTATTTTATAGCTGCGTTTGCGAAGTTAGAGCAAAAATATTTTGTTATGCTCTTGTCACAAGAAAAAAAAATAATAGCATAATCTTTGGCCTTCAACTCTGGAATGTGTTCACGTTTAAAAAAAATTACAAAACGGTTTAATCTTGCGTCGCGATATATATCGGTGCCAAGGACGAACTATCTATTCTCCACCCCCTCTTAAAATTAGGCCTATAATTTAGTTATACGAGTTGGTGAAAATGACCCCACCCCTCACCCCCCATTATTTAGAAAGTTCGGGGCACTTTTTACCATTTAATTTGCCTTTTTCTTTTTGGTGCCACACAGTTGATGTAGAAAATATTTAAATTAATCCCTAATGCTAACTAACAGTCTATATTCTTTATTTCGACTGCATACTATCCAGTAATGAGCTTTTTTTATCTACCACGTTTGACGCCCCCCTTTGGGTCGCTGCTTCTGGCGGCCGTCCCCTCCGCCTTCCCCTAGCCACGCCTCTGTTAATGGAATGAAATAATTATTGTATTTTCTCTAAACCTTTTAATGATTATCTAATTTAATGTTGATTTTGTGATCTAGCGCTTGACGCGACGTTGTAAAACACGTGAAGTTTTGATTTTTAATAGGGTTTGTAAATCTTGTATTCTCTCACTATGAAATTCATAATTTTCGCCGCGCATAAATGGGATATTTTAAAACTGGATTATTTCAGACCAGAAATGAGTTTCGGCCTATTATGAAATAGGTTAAATGGTTTATATATATATATATATATATATATATATATATATATATATATATATATGTAACGAGCGAACAGTTACCCTGCTCGCAACGCCACATGTTACGAGACTATTTGCCTGTAGTGCCAAATGTAACGAGTTTAACCACTCATGCTACACAACATCGACTACAGTAGAAATACTCGAAGATGCAGGTTCGCTATTGATCCTTTTATTACATGAATCAAGAAATGCTTCAATATAACACAATGAATCAACAGGAATGCTTCACAATAATAGTCTGAATCAACTGACCCCTAACAGTCCTCACTAGGCTTCATATAACTGAGTCCACATGTCTATTGTCCTTCTTAACACAATATAACCAACTTGATATGTCACACAGACTGACTGATCTAAAGCGAGCGATGAAGAGAGCGAGCGATCGAAAAGGGAAGAGAGCGAGTTCAGCCGTCCCCTCCTATTTATCCCTTGTATTCGTACTCGTATTCGTACTTGTATTCCTCCGTAATCGATACTTGTACTCGATGTCTCCGACTACTAGTTGCGCAGTTCTAACGTACAGTCCGATTAATAAACATCTGCATCCTATCAATCAAAGTTGACAGGCCGTCTGAATCCCCTCGTACCGTTTCCCAAAATAGCACGCGTTGGCTTTGAGATTGTTATCATTCCGATCTAATAAGCCACCTGCTATCAGTTGCATCAGACTGTAATACTGCGTCGCGGCTTATCGTTCGTTATCAGTTGCATCAGATTGTAACTAGTAGCTAGGCCTACCCTAGTTACATCCACCCCTGCCTTTTTTTGTGTGTTTTCAACCACAAACAACGCCTGGCAGGTGCACTCCTCCAAAGTCAATCGCACAATCGTAAAAAAATTTTATTGTTCCACTCACTGTCCACGTCGTCCCATTCGTATACGATTGACAGTTATACCTATTTCACATATCAACTGTGTCTACATCATCTTCCTGAGACACAAAACAGTTCTAGAATTCACATCCACCCTTTTCGTTTGGTGCCTTCACCAGTTCACTTTTATAGCTTTTTGAACCGTCTGTTCTCATACCAGCGCGACCATGAAAGAATTGATGGTTGCTGACAAAAAATTTCGTCTTCCTTCTGTTCCTCAAACTTCTCCGCGGACCACTTATCTGATGGTCTACTGTCTCTCTGCTTCTGGAAGGAACGGGATCCTCTTTGTTGCCGTTATCCTCCACTTGTGTATCGCGGTTGTTCTGTTGATGGTGATATGGTTCCGGGATGGGTATGTGAATTTCCGTTATAGTTTCCGGTTCCCTAATTGTCTTGGATTTCCTTGTGTGTAACTGCTCTTCTTGCCTATTCCAATATTTCTTTAATTGAGCAATATTCGCCCACCGATCCGGTTTGGCGTGATCGATGGGTCTTATCTTAAAGGGGCCACCTGCTACTTTAGGCATCTCCACGACTTGCCATATCTCCTGTCCCCAGAGATCGTGGATTTTGTTTCTGCCTAACGGGTGGCTACGCAGTAATACCCTGTCGTTCAGTTTGAGTGGCGGGTCCTTTGTCTGTACCGGCGGTTCCCTTCGCCGTGCTTCATGTTCTAGTCTTTCCTGTACTACCCTGTACATTTCTCTAATTCTTCTCATATGTTCATTCACATATTCCAGTGCGGTGTATGAGCCAGTCATACTCTCCCTTTTTCCTAGGAACAAATCAAGAGGGAGTCGAGCCTCCCGTCCGAACAGCAACATGTGTGGCGCAAAGCCGGTTGTGGCATGGGGGGTGCAGTTGTATAGATATACCAACTCTGGGAGAAAATCAGGCCAACGTTTTTTCTGTTCAGGTTCTAGGGTACGCAGCAAATCATGCATGCTACGGTTGAACCGTTCACACTGTCCGTTTCCTTTCGGATTAAATGTGGTTGTTCTAGATTTGTTGATCCCGTAGTGGCTGCACAGTTGGTTGATTACTTCTGACTCGAAGGCCCTTCCTTGGTCAGAGTGTAATTGTCTTGGTATGCCATATTTGATGAACCAATGTTCTATTAATACCTTTGCCACTGTTTTGGCAGTCTGATCTCGTGTGGGCACCGCCACCGTCCATTTGGTGAATACATCAGTCATTACCAACACATGTTCCGTCCCATCCGATGATTGCTCCAACGACGTAAAGTCCATAGCCACAATCTCTAGTGGTTTTGTCGCTAGTAGGTGTCCTGATGGCTGTCTCATTTTGACAACTGGCATTTTCGCATGCTGACACCTCACACAAGCCTCACAATGGCGTTTGACCTCCATTTCCATATTGGGCCAGTAACACCTCCGTCGTAATATTTTGTGCGTCCTGTCCTGACCCTGGTGTCCTGCCCTGTCATGTGCCAACCTTAGCACTTCCTCTCGTAACTGTCCAGGCACCACCACCTGGTGTATTGTCCCATCAATTTGGTCATGAATTCTCCGCATGAGAACACCATCCTCTATACTGAGACGGTCCCACTGACTCAGTATTTTCTTTGTTTCTCGACCAAATTGTTCTCTTTCCCTTCTTCCTGGGAATTTTTGTTCCTGGACGTATTTCAATAGCGGTTGTAAGCCACTATCCGTTCTCTGGGCATCTCTTATCTTTTGGTGATTAAGGCCGTTAAAATCAATACTGTCCATAAGTCCGGGCTCTGTGGATATGTGCTCCACCCCGGTCTGCCCGTTTTGCATCACTTGTACCCCATGAGGGATATCTGTTGACGCTCTGACCTCACATATTCCTGTCAGTGTTTCTTCCTCATCGCCCGGTCTCTCGTAAGGATTCCTTGACAAAGCGTCCGCATTGCCATTGGACCGCCCCGGGCGATATTTTATCTCCAGGTCAAAGATTGCCAATTCTGCTGCCCATCTCTGTTCGATGGATCCCAACTTTGCTGTCTTTAGGTGACTCAGGGGGTTATTGTCAGTGTATACCACACATTTAGCACCTAATAGATAGTCCCTGAATTTCTCAGTCACAGCCCATTTTAATGTCAAAAGTTCTAGTTTCATGGCGCTGTAATTTGTCATGTTCTTCTCTGATCCCTTCAGAGCTCGACTGGCATACGCAATAACCCTGAAGCCTTGCTTTTGTTGTTGTGATAGCACAGCTCCCAGACCTTTAGAGCTGGCGTCAATTTCTAACCGAAATGGTTTGTCAAAGTCCGCGTATCCCAATATCGGCGCCTCTGTCAAAGCCTTTTTCAAGAGCTTAAACGAGTTCAGGCATTCATCAGTCCATAATTCACCTATCAGTTGTGTTTTGCCTTTCTTTTTCTCCTTACTGTGTTTGTTTGTCATTTTGTTTACCAAGTCATGCAATGGTGCGGCAATTTTTGCAAAACCAGGTACAAATTTTCTATAATAGGAAGCAAAGCCCAAGAATGATCTGACCTCTACCGTAGTTGTTGGCTGTTTCCATTCTTTAACAGCTGCAATTTTATCTGGGTCAGTGGCGATGCCATCCGACGAAATCACATAACCCAAAAAACGTACCGATTTCAGACCAAAGCAGCATTTGTCTGGGTTCAGCTTTACTCCTATCTCCCTAAGACGGAGAAACACTTGTTCTAATCTTTTTAGATGGTCCTCCCAAGTTTTTGAGTAAACTAGAATATCATCCAAGTACACCAACATTATTTGAAATAGAAAGTCACTCATAGCACTCTGCATTACTCGCTGGAATGTAGCAGGTGCATTAGTCAAACCAAACGGCATACGGGTCCACTCGTACAGTCCCATTGGAGAAATAAATGCAGTTTTATGTTGATCGTTGGGGTGCATGGCCACTTGGTGGTAGCCACTAGCCAAGTCCAAGGTAGAAAAAAATCTTGCTCCCCCCAACGCATCAAGACATTCATCAATACGAGGCAAGGGGAATGCATCCCTTCTTGTGATATTGTTCAATTTCCGGTAATCACAACACAGTTTTATCTCCCCTG